TTAAAGTTATTATATTGTGATATTTGACAAATGACTCTGTGTGGTAATTAATTTGATCCCATCGCCCAATTAACCCGTGCTGTCCTGTACTGTCGCAGGCACGAACTTGCACCGGACAGACGCCGTCTACCGGTTCTACACGGGTCCAGATGGGCTGCATGCCTTCATTATAGCTACGTTCTGACTTCTGAAAATTCTGATCGCCACGGAAGATTAAGAAATCTGTCAGAACAACAGACAGTATCACCGATCGGAATGATATTGTATCACGTCGTTCATTGTGCCTATGTGGAATAGCGTACGTATGGCCCAGTGTATAACTACATTGTAATTCTGTTCTTGATTCTGATAGCAGTCGCCTCATCGATGTGGTGTTGACCAAACAACAATGTCCATGTGTGTAGTTAATGTCTAATGTTGGTAGGTACGTACTGATGAAAATGTATATGCTTGCAGAGTAAAACAATAAAAAATAATTCACGGTGCAGTTTGTTATTTTGTGGATGAAATGCATGGACTTGAAAAGGATCTTCAAATGGTAATCCAGCTGCCCAGTAAAAAATACCATTAGAGATTTCCAAATGGTTCCAAATGGGAAAAAACATTTGACTTATTGAACACTTTTCCAAATGGTTCCAAAGAGGTTCCATTTGAAATGTGTCCAATCGGCCACCAATTGGTACCAATTGGAACCATTTCATGACCATTTGAAATGTGTCCAATTGGTACCAACTGGTGACCAATTGGATACATTTCAAATGGTCATGAAATGGTTCCAATTGGTACCAATTGGTGGCCAATTGGACACATTTCAAATGGAACCTCTTTGGAACCATTTGGAAAAGTGTTCAATAAGTCAAATGGTTTTTCCCATTTGGAACCATTTGGTAATTTCTAATGGTATTTTTTACTGGGCATAGGCGGCGGAACGGGGAGGGCACCGGGGCACCGTCCCCCCCTTTGATTTTGGCATTTTAACATTAGCCCTATGGGCGTTGCATGGAAAGAATGGGACCAAAAGTTGGCAGTGCCCCCCCCCCCCTTAATTGAAGGTAAACGAGTCCTCAAATTAATAGGTTAGGGGCATATGCCCCCCGGACAGGAGCCTGAGGGGCATTCAGTACAAGTATGCCCCCCCCCCATTCAGACTTACACTTCTTACGCCTATAACGAGGAACTAAATAAAAATTGATTAGAAAGCCTTCCTAGTAACTAGGTACTTTTGTGATCAGAGTCGTTTTAGTAACCTCAATTTAGTTGTCATTGCCTTTATTTTGTCTAAAAATATGTTGCTTCTTACCACAAGGGAGCAATGCCGCTTCAACCCTATTGACCGTATTGCGTAACGACGGCAGTCATATTGCGCAAGCCAGGAATCGCCCGCCGCCTATGCTTGGGAATAGGGACGGTTAGAATACGATTTACCTGTATGGCCGCAGCCAGCGCAGCGTAAGCGGGGGGGGGGGACACAAGGGGCGCGTGCCGCCTCATTAGATGCATGGTGCCCTATGGGCCCGAGAGGCCCTGCAGTGCCAATTAGTGGCCGCTCAGGGTCCAAGCGTGCCTCATTTCGACTGATATAAGACCCGCAGGACTCGTGAGAGCACCTCACGGAGACACGGGCTCCTGAGTCGCCACACATCACACATCTCCATAACGGCCCCACTCCGACTTCTGATAGCCCTGTGCTGGCCTCTGAGTGCTCTTGCTGACCCATTAAGCGTCAGCTCAGCTCTAATTAGGGTCCTGACCCATACCCGCATGGAACGGCTTCACACCAGTGTCTCTGAGGGCCCATAACGGCGCCTGTGAGGGCCTCACACCGGCGCCTCTGAGAGCCCAATACCACCAATCTGAGGGACTAACACCAATGTTTCTTAAGGGCCTGCATCGGCGGCGGCTCTGAGGGCCCCACACTGGCGCCTCTGAAGGTCTTACACAAGCGCATCTGACGGCTACCTACCTGCAACTCTGTGGGCCCCACACTGTCGACTCTGAGGGCTCCCAGGGAGTCCTCCCATGAGATCCCTCAGGCGTCGCTGCAGCGACGCCTGAGAGTCCCATGCCGATCTATAAGGACTCCACAGGGCTCCTGAAGATAGGCCGGCAAGTGAGGGCCGGCAAGTGAGGGCCGGCAAGATAGGCCGGCAAGTGTGACGTCATCTTTGACCTGACCTGAAAATGACCTCAGTAAAAATTATAGACCTTATCCATTTGTACCCTGCACCGTTTACCGCTTGTCGCTATCTTGCTTTATTCTCGAGATCTCGCTGTCGCTCCCGCTCGTAATAATGGACAGGTCATAAAAATTACCTGACCTGAGGTCAACGCAGGGCAATATCCACTTTTTTATTTTCGCACATGAATGACAATTGATAAGGCTTTAATCGTCATCAGACAAAATTACAACTTTCAGTGGGGAAAATATCAAGGTCACTCTTCGAAAAATAGGTCAAAAGGTCGCGTGATCAAAATTTTCAAAAATTGAAAATGCGAGATAGCCAAAATGTTTGTTGGCTGATTGTGAGTTGAACCATATAAAGTTTTTATCGTAGAAAACCAATAGTTTCTGAGTTATAGGCCGCCAAACATAGGGCTGCAGCGCGACCTGCTGGAATTGCCCGAGGCTATATCTCGGAAACCGTTGTTCGAAGAAAAAAATCCTTGTCACAGCTGGCTTCCCCGCCCATCACAACCCCTTACACCAGTTTTCAACGAAAAATAAAATATGAGGGTGCAAATTTAATTTTTTATTTGTCGATTTATCGTGGAACGCCCCACGTGTAATAGCAGCGTGTTGCTATCACCGGTGAAACAGGGCCCAGGTGGCCTACCATTTGTTTTTTTTTAAGAAAAAAACTCGTATCAGGGCTATGACGAAAAATAAGTGGCCTAAATCCGATGAGAAGACAGGATTTGGGGGTACCCTAGGAGAAGGTTTGGCTCCGTGACCTGGTATGCCCCCCCCCGCGCTGAAACCCTGGATCCGCCAGTGCGTGAAATAATGCATTAAAGATTAAAGAACCATGCAAAGTTAGCCCTTTTACTAGTTTTACTGGCAAGGGCGATAATGTTCCCCTGAATGCCCTTATTGATCAGTACGATAATTTCTCTAGAGTTCTCGTAGATAATTTCTCTAGTTTCTGAAGAATTTTCGGGACCCATGCTCGTTTCATACTGGATGCAAATATATGCAAGGCACACATCCTCAACGCAAGACACCTTTTTCGGGACGAGAAATAGAATATCTTTGCCTAGGGTGATCGTTGGGCTGTAAAAGCTCCTGATTTATGCTCGTCTCAGCCCAAGCTACGGAAATGCTATTCCAGTTCAAAACCCATGTTAAAATGTGAACTATTTCCTTTAAGAGATAGGGACCACGCTGGTCCCACCCTGCAAGTAAAGGGAAGAAATTTCTTGAACACCATAAAGCTGCGGGGGTTGCGACCAGGATAAATGGTGGTTTCTGAGCCTGGCCGCAAACTTGGCTATCTCAACTCAAAACTAATGTTAAGGTGGGAGGGTCCCTTTAACTCATGCTTAGGGCATGGATTTATCTCTTATCCATGCTTAGGGTATATGCCAAATGTGAAATTATTGCTCGTTTTGCAGTTCAAGTTCGCGACTTAGGCATGCTTGGTTCATTTAAAACCTGATTTCAAGTTTGTATTTTGTGGGATTGTGTTCTTTTGTTTTCTTTTATGCTATCTAGTTTATGGGTATTAATTGTTGTTAACGTCCAATTAGTTTTCTAGCTAGATCAGCTGCATATGACATTTTCCCTCCCTTAACCCGCACCCCGTTGGGCTCTGCCGAGCAACGCGCCCTGTTGGGGGGGGGGGGCAATTTGGCCCCCCCTAAGATCTCGAGAACCACGCAACTTAGCGACAAGCGGTAAACGGTGTTGGATAGCCCTATCAGGGAACTACCTTGTGACCCAATTTTATTGACCTAGGTCAAACCGATGACGTCACAGGTCAGGTCAAAGATCGAATTTTCACCCTTTACAGGCATTTCAAGAAATGCATTGTAAAATCGAGTAAAATGCATTTAATTGAAAATCATCGATGGGGAAATGTTCTTCAAACATATTTTGCTATTTGAGGTCACTGATACCAGGTCAGGTCACAGAGGTCAGGTCACTGGCCACTGGGGGTCACAATATGAAAGTGTCGTGTGATACATGTTTTATGGTCCATTTTACATGACAAATGCGATTATGTGGGTCAGGCAGCCTTTGGGGCCAGCTTAGGTCACGTTTTGGTCAAGGTCAGGTCAGGTCAAGGTCAGGTCAAATTAGGTCAAATTTCAAAGTTGATATTTTTGCATAAACTGGGTATCGAATCGATGCAGCTCGTCACGTGGAGTTCAATGGTGGTCTTTGTTTTGTCCTACGTGGTCTGGAATCGCTAAAAATTGAGTTAAAAAATTTGACGTCATTATTTTTGAACAGTTTTTTCGCTATAACTTGGTTAAAAAAAGAGATATCGATCTGAAATTTGGTATGTATAGAGAAGAGCGCAGGGACTATCACATATATTCCGTTTTTTTCGAAATTCGTTTTTTTTTTATTTTTTTAGTTTTTCTTAAAAAAACGATTTTTTGAATTTTTCGGGGTCAAAAACCCAAAATTTTGAAAATCCGAGACGGCAGTTTTGTAGCGCTACTTTTTTTCTACTAGACCATATAAAGAACATTGAAATTGCTTGATAACTGTAGATTTGGTGAGCGTTTCAAGATTGCATGTTTTTATGCTCATTTTTGCTCGAACATGACCTCAGTTTGACCTCAATAACTCCTGACCTAAGGTGACCTAAGACTTGAAATTCGGTTTGAAGGTGTCAACTTGATGCCCGGGAAGGTACTGAAAATTTGGCGGCGCTGCGCGCCGCCGTTTTCTTCCTATTCAGGAAAAACCACCGGGGGCCAAATTGCCCCCCCCCCCCCAACGGGGCGAGGGTTATTGATATGCAACCTACATTCTGCCCCCACTCTTTCAGGGTCTGCACAGTCAAGTGACAGCATTGCCTGAGCAGATACTGTTGATACGAAGACCAACTGAACCAGGATGGGGAGCACGGTCAGCACGGGCGAGGACAACGATGACCTGGTGGACAACCTGGTGGAACGGGACTGCATCACCACTGGCGGTGTGGAACATGTGTTCCGAGCAGTCGACCGAGGCAACTACTTCACAGAGGAGTGCAGGGACAGTGCTTACAAGGTAGGTTTATTGGGTGTATGATTGCAGCTGAGGGTAACTATAGACAGGAGTACAGTACAGGGTAATCCTGGAGAGTACTGTGGTACACTTTCAAATGTCAAAGCTGATGTGTCAGAAAAGGCATCTGTTATTTTTCTCCCCTGTATCATTAGAAATTATTGAAGCTGGTTGTCCTCACATAAAGAAGAATCTTTAAATTTTATCAGAAAATTGGACTTGAAATTGCAGGACAAGATGCCAGTGTTGAGGAAGGAAAACTCAAGGAGCTTTAAGAAAATTAGCACCTTTAGTGGTAGCTTAATGGTTACATCACTGAAAGCTAGCATCACCCTCTCATGACTCCCGTTTGCTGTTGTGCAGGACACAGCCTGGCGGAGCGACAATTTGCACCTGTCGGCGCCGTGCATATACTCGTCCGTGATGGAGAACCTGAGCCTGCAGCCGGGCCACAGCTTCCTCAACATCGGCTCCGGCACCGGCTACGTCAGCACCATGGTCGGACTCATTATCGGTGAGGCCAGAGCTAGCTGCCGTAAGCGCCGAGTTTTAACCTCAGTTTAGCACGGAGTTCTCAACTGTCGATGGTGGCGCCCTAGGCCTAATCGATACAAGCTACCAATATGTCAATGATGTATCGATGATCACATTGATATCGCTATTGAAATTGGTTGTTATCGATCTGCTCTGTGCTTTCTATTCGCATGATATCGGTGCTGGAATATTTTGCCAAATTGTCAGGGAACTCAGATTTGTTTTTCAATAGAAAAACACAATTCTAACGAATAGTGTTTTAACCCGCGCCCCGTAGGGCTACCGGCGGACCCTACCACCCGTAGGGGGGGGGGGGCCGTTTCGGCCCCCCCTAAGATCTCGGAAAGTTACCGGCCGATTTTCAAAATTCAAACGGCGTTCGATAGCCCCACCCGGGAACTACCTTGTGACCAAATTTCATTGACCTAGGTCAAACCGATGACGTCACAGGTCAGGTCAAAGGTCAGATTTTCACCGTTCACAGGCATTTCAAGAAATGTGTTGTGAAATCGAGTTAATTGGTAATTTATTGAAAACCATCGATGGTACATTGTTCGTCAAACACATACTTTGCTATCTGAGGTCACTGATACCAGGTCAGGTCACAGCGAGGTCAGGTCACCGGGGTCACAATATGAAAGTGTCGTGTGATACATGTTTTATGGTCCATTTTACATGACAAATGCGATTATGTGGGTTAGGCAGCCTTTGGGGCCAGCCTAGGTCACGTTTTGGTGAAGGTCAGGTCAAGGTCAGGTCAAATAAGGTCAAATTTCAAAGTTGATATTTTTGCATAAAATGGGTATCGATTCGATGCAGCTCGTCACGGGGAGTCTAATGGTGGTCTTTGTTTTGCTCTACGAGGTCTAGAACTGCCAAAAATTGAGTTTGAAAATTTGACGTCATCAATTTTGAACAGTTTTTTCGCTATAACTTGGCCAAAAAACGAGGTATCGATCTGAAATTCGGTATGTAGATAGAAGACGGTAGGTACTATCACATATATTCCGTTTTTTTGAAACTCAAAAAACTTTTTGGATTTTTTGGCTAATATATCAAAAAAATGTTTTTTTTATTTTTGGGGTTCAAAACTCAAAAATTTCAAAAATCCGAGATAGCAGTTTTGTAGCCCTGTCAATTCTACACCTTTTATGTCTTGATCATTTTTCTGTATCTTCAAAGCTGTAGGCCTGACAGGTCTTCTCGCGAAGGTCTTTTTTCGGTCGAAAATGACAGAACATGACGTCATTCTGACGTCATTTGTGGCCAACCTATCATAGCCTCTGGAAAATTTTTTGGTCACAATGTGTAAAATTGATGCCCGGAGGGGTCCTGAAAGTTTGGTGGCGATATCTGAAGCGGTTTAGGAGATATCGACCGAAAAGGACAGGGGGGGGGGCCGTTTCGCCCCCCCCCCCTACGGGGCGCGGGTTAACTATTGACAACAAACCTTCGGTTATCGATATGATGCTAGTGGCGATCGTTATGATTGATCCTCGTATTCGTTAGTCGTCTTTCCTGTGCTGATATTGTAGCACGCTACATCTTGAACATTTAACGTAGTATCTTTTCGGCACGGCTCGGTCCGGCAGTCCCTCTCCCTCGCAGTCCGGCCACACGCCTAGCCTCGCTTTCCCACACCCAATTCCCCCCCCCCCCCCAGTTCCCCTAATCTATCACTGTCCGCACAGAGTGGGCAGCCGTTAAACTCCCATTAAGACGCGCGCTTTTGGAGACAGCTACCGCAGGATGAACGATTCGAACCCCAACAAGTAACAGCTGGATCAGTAACATTGTCAACAGCTCGTGGACCCACACCGAGGACAGATAACGGCTGGGAGCGCTGGATCAGTAAGATATGTCAACAGATCATGGAGCAGTGTCAAGGATGGATGCCGGCTGGAGCACAGAGCCTCCTTTGTCGGGCACAGCAACCCAGGGTGAGTGACCCTGGCAAAACAACCGGGTGACCGACCTCACAATGGCCTCATGAGGTAGTTCCAGAGATCTCCGCAGAGGAAGAAGGCGCTGACTTACGGCCACACCCGGTACAGTGGGCGGAGCAAGAGTGACGTCACAAGGGGCGTTGCCGGCAGACGAAACGGAAGGAAACAAAAGTTTGAATAAAATGAAATTGAAGAATCAAAATTAAAACTCGAAAATCACCAACCTTTCGGGGATTGGTTTATGCCAGCGACTACTAAGATGATAAAGCACTCAACACGAAGACGATTCGACGGCCAAAAATTGCAGACACAGAGGAGCAAGGCGACTTAACAGGACAGAGGGCGCCATCTTACGGGCCCACCCACAAGAGGAAGGCAGAGGAAGATGACGGCGCAAGGGCGTGGCAGTCACCCCCCCCCCCCCCCCCCCCCAACTATAAAAGGGTGCGCCACCCAACCAGAGGGAATCACAGTCGAGCAGCCGAGAGTCACAGTCCACAGCTGGAGCCGGAAACGCCATCTGGGAGCCGCCGTCAGTCCGGGGTCACCCGCGAGAAGCCTCTTCAGTTCGAGTGATCAGAACCGAGGACAGCAGCCGACGCTTGTGACCACACTGAGAAGCGGAAGCGCAGAGAAACTCCAGAATGTGAGTGTTGTTGAAAAGTCTGCTCAATCCCAATCCTTGACCCCCCCCCCCCCCCCTCTGCCCGGTTGCCGTGCCGTGACGACTGCCAAACATTTTCGGTTGCCATAAAATGCACTCTCAATTGGAATTGGAAAACTTAAATTACTTTGAACTTATTGGTCCAGACACCCTAGTAGCATATTAGGATCTGAATTTCGAAGTCACGTCAGAGTCGCCAGCAAACCGTTATTGTCAGTTGGAGTTCACGATTAGGCCGAGAGCGAGAGGCTAAATTTTGAATAAGCAGCTCATGGTCACGAACGTTGAGATTGATGACAGGATGCGTGACAGCGTTGAAATGTCTTTGTCTTCGGTCAAGCTGGTTCGTTCGATTTATTATGGGCGATGGCCAGGTGCGTTTTGAGGTTGGAACGTTTGTGAAATTAAGGGTTTAGATTCGTGCTGTACTCACTAAAAGTTGCATTGCGAAATCATTGGTAATATTGCTGTAGGAATTAATTGCGAAGTCGAAATCAATTATAGAACCGGTAAATACGGTTGAAAAGGAATGTAATGTTTTAAGGTGGCGACTGATTCATGCGATCGATCTATGAATATGGCTATGAGTTATGATTTTCGACAGATACGAATGCTTGAGCTTACGGCCGAATTTCTTCTGTTACTTAGGTGCAGAGTTGCGAGCAGTGGTTTGAGGTTGACGGTTTGACACTTAGCGACTTTAGATGGTCACTTTGCGTCATTGAAATTGCGAAATGTCGAGTAACAGGTAGATGTAGAATTGTTTGTGGTTAGAACTAATATGCGACTAATATAGGTGCCGATCGTTGTGCTTTTGTAGAATAAATACTAGAAAGGACCACCTTTGTTGGGAAACGATTAAATGGGACAGGATGTTAATTTAAAAAAAAAAACTTACGTTGAATGGAGCTGATGAGATGTCGAACAGGGAGATAGATATTGCAGCGATATTTTACCAGATTCACACTCACTGACACATTCGTTGAATCTACCCGGCCCGAAGAGACCGCACACACCAGTACTGCACCGAGAGTGATGACGCGCCCATCGCGGCGCGGCCTTGACAACTGTCGACTGTCGACGCGGCGCCGACCGGCGCCGCGGTAATCATCGTTCGCGACGCGGGACCGTGCGCCGCTAGATGGCACACGAGGGCAGCGTCGGGAGTGGAGCAGCGGCCACAGTAGGGCAGTGGGCTAACCGTAATTGGGCGCGTGCGGTAGGTGAAGGTCATCGTAGGTATAGGAACATGGTTAGTTGTGGAAGTTGCCACGGGATAAGAACGTAAACAGTTAATGCGTAATTCTAAATACGACGTGCTATGTAATATCTAGACTGCAGTTCGTTTAATGTGCATTGTTTACTGTTGATAGGATGATTTAAATTAGATTTCCTCTGAAAAGCTAGCGATCCGTATCCGTATGACAATATTCTGGCATTCTATAAAGATAAATTGTATAGGTAACTAGTAGTCCATCAGAAACTGCCACCAGAAACTATCGAGCGAGTTTCAAGGACTCATTTCCGTTTGAGCACTCAGTAATTTACTATGATACGGCGGTCACAACCAGACGACAGATCCGTGCGTACTAATTGGTTCTAGATCATCTGATTAAATCAAGAGCGGTTCAAGGTTTGCTAGGGTTGTATACGAGAACTGATGATTAGGTTCACGCGTACAGCAGCAATTAGGACTTGAGATTACGATTTGGTTTGGATAAATAATGCGTTTTTGTTCTTCGCGTTCTTGCGAGTTAGCGCCAATGATTACTCCACCAATATTGGCACAGGGCATTGTGAGGCACAGACGGCTTGTTTGCCCGTCTCCTATGGCGTAACGTTTACCAGCATGACTGTATGAGACACAGATGCACTTCTCTAAACCCACGTCCAGACCGGAATAATAAGAGGGACACACCGTCACGTACGCAGGGCATATGCACGTTTTCCGCCAGTGGTACCGGCCACTGTTAATTTCCCGCTTAGGTAATACTGGGTAACGAGGCAGTGAGAGGTTTCTATGGCAGAGGAAAGGAGAAGACTGGTACAGTGCAGTCGGAGAGTAAGTTGGAGCTATGCCAAAGGTAAGAAGCCGAAGGTCAGGGGTGAGTCACCCAAAGGGCGGATAAGGCATGCTGTAGTGTCCCGAATAAGTCCTCATACTTATTTTGTAAGGGTACCTTAATCGGTACTGGACAGCCTCAGGGGAGGTAACGATGTACTCCAGGACACGTAAAGCCTTGAAAGTAAATCCCAGGGTTTAAGGAGAGTTCCTGAGGAGAGTTCCAGGATATGAACGGTGGTCCCTGGGTCGTGAACGGAGGTGTTACACGCGGACCGGAAGAGGGCATAGGTAATCTCTCCCGGATAGAGAGATAAGTCGGATGTAAATCGTGTATGTGTGTACCATAAGTCTATCGGACGTGTGGGAATCCCATAGATTAGTAGGGTGGATATTTGTACATATTTATTCTGGACGGCCCTGCGATAAGTATCTTTGTCGCCGGTTAGCGGAGCATGCAAATGGATTTCGGAAGGAGACATTTATCTCGCCGGGGAGATCGTCGTCAGCCAGACACCTAACACTATCGGAGGGAATTTCGGGGCTGCTAAATCGATTGGGGTGAGTGAATGGAGGGCAAATGTTTTGTGTAAATGAGCGTAAGAATGATGAAGGATACATCTTAGGATAAGGCCGATAGGAGTTAAGCAGAACTCAGGTTGGGCAGTCCAGCTAATGATTCTCGAGGGTAACTAAACTAGCAACGCTAATACGAACTAAGTGGGCAGTTTTCGTAATGGGGAGGCCAGTGATATAGGAATGGGTGACTGGACGAATGATCACATTCAATTAATCAATGTAATTACCACCCATAAGTTTGGCAGTGGTCATCGGGACTTCGAATGCCCTGTCCTTCACCTGCCCAACTGTGCCGCAAACCCAGCTGATCGGATCCCTCTATCCCTAATCCGAGCAGTGAAGAAGCATCTCGTGCATCATGGTCTATACAATGAACAGAATCATCAAGCCTCTAAATCAAAAAGCATCTTCCATCAGATGTATTTGTATGCAAGGTGGATCTGGATCTACATCTCTCTCAGGTGGATTCGATCTATCTCAAGATCTCTATCGGGATCTATATCTCTATCAGGTGGATATTATCATCCATCTCAGCAAGCTTCCCTGTTCTAGCAGCTTTACTATCGAGTTCCTCCAGCGGCGAATTATTCTCTCTTCTGCTACAACAGCCGAACAACGGTGGACCCCGGTGCTGGGTCAGCTGCAACGAAGTAGAGGAGTGTTTACCCGCCCGCCCATTTCTCCATTACCTTGCTACAATATTTAGGAGTATTTCTAAGATATTGAAGATCAAACATGCTAGTTCCGCTGATTACGGCTGCCGTAGCCATTTGCTTGGGCACCGTACTGTGAACCCGGACCGTTGCCCATCATTTAGTTTATTCCCGTTACCTGTCACCTATCTATCCACGGGGCTTTGAGCATGGACGCAAAATGACCTTAGTAGTCGGTGCACCCTAAAGCCCTAATAAACAAACAAACGGGACTATTAGCGAACTGTATGATCCCATGAGGCCACTGACCTTACCCTATCTACCATAGAGAGCACGGGCGTCAACCATGGGGTGGAGCTCTACCAGGAGGTGATCGACTACGCCCAGGAGCGGCTGGCTGAGTTCATCGCCTCATCGCCGGCCGTGGATCAGTACGACTTCTGTCCGCCTCAGTTTGTGTGCGGTGAGTCGGGGCTGAAGTGGACTGAGTGGGCGGCGTCAGAGCACGCTAGAATGTGAGACTTAAGTGGTTTTAGCGCTATGTGGTGGAACGTGATGAAATGGTGCGAGACTCGTTGAAATACTTACGAGTTGTTTACGGGAGACGTGTCGTATGACGCATATAATTGACCTAATTCGATAATTTTGTTTAAGATGCCTGCGCACCATACGGCTGCGTGTGTTGATCCCGCCTTTGTTGCTCTCAATGGATAATGGCGGCCGCACTTTGGTAACGCAATTCACAATGCTTGTCCCCAGGCAACGGTCTGCTGATCGGGCCCGGTCAGCAATACGACCGTGTGTACTGCGGGGCGCGCTGTCCGCTGTCGGAACTGGCCTGCCTCAAACAGCTGCTCAAGGTATCGTACGTCCGTTTACCGGCGTGGCTGCAAGCTGACCCTAGCTTTCGGCCCCAAACAAACAGTAGCAGTCCATATTCCACTCATACAGAGAGCAGGACGAACGGTCAGTGACTTTTAATCCCGTCACATGGTATGCCTACAACTACATACAGACATGAGACAACGCATTTCAAACTCGCATGATTCTACGCGATACATTCACGTGACTGCACCCCCCCCCCCCGCCACCCTGATGATCGTATCTCCCCCCTCCCCCCCCCCCCCCCGGTCCCATGACACCCGGTAGGTAATTAGTGAATCTCGTCACCGTCTCACGCCGTGTGTGATGAAAAAGATTCGCCCGGTGCCCGGCCTCCCGGCGTCGGGCTGCCCCCGGCGTGTGCCCCTCCAGGCGCCGCGTCGGAGGTTATTTTTGTCCGGCAGTGACCGCGTGGCGCCTGCTCGGCTCGCCGGTATCTTTGTTGAGCGAAAAACTGATGCGACGTTGGTGACCTTGGACTGGGTTGGAAGGTCACCATAGGCTTGGAACACGTTTGAGGAGCGTGATGGTTGACCTATGTAGTAGTAGGGCTAACTACGTTTGTAAGAACTTTTCGTCGGAGTGATGCATCGCTCAGATGGCTTCGCGATAGCTTATTGACGAAGGAAGAAATATGACCACCTTTTCGCTGGCTAGGAGCCTATTGAAGCGTTCCGGCATCTGTAGCAGTCAGTCTATTCTGGCAGTGAAGATCATTGACTCCTCTATTGTGCCCAGGCAGGCGGAATAATGGTATACAGGATGCAGCATATTTGTACCGGAAAGCTCACTACTCTCGCTTCTCTGTTTTGTTCAGGTGGGCGGGGTGCTGGTAGTACCCGTCAACGACTATCTGAAGCGAATCGAGCGACTCGGGGAGAGCGAATGGGACGTGCAGGACAAGCTGTCCGTCTCCTTCGCCGGGCTGATTGAGCCCAACGTCAGCGGTCACAGCGGTCCGCTGAGCATGCGTGAGTACGACAAGGGTCAGAGGTTTTGAGTTTTGACCCAGTTCCTATAGAGAAGCCAGTGGGCAAGTGTTACTTTGCCAAAATGCAAAGGAATCAAAGGAAGACTTGAGAACGTTGATGCAGGTGTGTAAGGGTGGCTATATGAACTCATCTATCGGGTCGCCCTTTCCAATAAGTGTCACTTAGCAGCAAAGGGCTCTATATGAACTGGGCCGAGGTCTCGAGAACAGAAGTCAAAGGTCAAGTCACGGGATCAGGGGCAGGGCACAAGGAACAGAGGCCAGGTCACGGGTAAGGAACATCGGTTTATCTAGAACGTGTGAATACGGTAAAGGTCAGGCCACCGGGTTTTTATTGTCTGAGTGTGTGCCCTCAGGTAGAAAACTACGTAAATTGCAAGAATGTATCCGGGTTTTGATGATTATTACGAATGCTAGTTTAACTTGAACAGTATATGTGATTACTGCAGATCTCACATTAGACGCCCTGTGAGTCTCGCTGTGACGGGCGCCCCTGGTCCGGCAGCGCCGCGGGTGCCGGCCTCACTACAGCAGCTGTGTCGCACGGCCATCCGCCGTCTGCTGCGCGCTCAGCTGCTGGCCGACCAGCCGCCGCCAGCGGCCACGGCGCGCGCCCAGCGCCGGCGCCGGCCCACCAGCGGTCGCGCGGAGGAGGAGCGGCGCATCCGACGGTTCGTGCTGCCGCTGGTGGGCGCCTCGGTCGCCGAGATTCGCAGCTCCGACGGGGAAGGGGAGGAGGAGGGGGAGGAGCGGCGCACCGGGCGCCACAGACGCGACTCGGGACACTCTGAGGAGGCGTTTATGGAGCCGACCGGCGCATCCGAGGATGACTCGGACGATGAAGAGCAGGAGCGGGATGGCCAGCTCCAGCAGGAGCGGCAGGATCGCCGGCAGGAGCGGCTGGATCGTCTGCAGAAGCGCGCTGCGGCTACAGCCAACTCCCAGCAGAATGAGGGGCAGGAGACGGCCACCCCTCAGCAGGAGCAGGATGCGGTCCCTGGTAACTCCCAGGAGCAGAAGGAGAGTATCCCGGCTGCCTCAAAAGAGTCTGCCTCTTCGAACTCAGGACAACAGACGGAGACGGAGACAGAGACAGGAGACCAGGGAGCGTCTCCCGCAGAGGCAGGAGACAATACAGTGTCTACGCCAGAGGCCTCTCAGTCTCGCGCCTCTCTGAAGCGCTTCAACGATGACAGTACGGCGGGCACAGAGGGTGGGCCGGCCGCCGGCGCCGGGCCCTGTGAGACTCAGAAGCGCGGCCGGTGCGACCACCTGGACAGTGGTCTGGGCGACTCGCCGCCGCTGCCGCCGCGCGACCACTCGGAACCCGAGAACGGCGTGGCCGCCTCCTCAGACGATGACGGCGACGATGACGACGGTGATGACGGTGACGTCAGTGATCGGGAGCGTCCTCGACGGCGACCGGCGCGGTTCATATACGGCCACGTGCCTCCGATGTGGCGACACTCTGCCCAGTCGCGCGCCGAGTTCGCTAACGAAATCAGCCGGTTTCTGGTGGGCTACTCTGATGACGACGACCGGGACGAGCCGGAGCTGGACGGTGGCGAGCCGCACCGCGGCCGCTGTCCTATGAGCAGCCGCCGACGAGCGCGGCCCTCCCGACACGCCTCTGTCGAGGCTAGCCAGCGCCTGGCAGACCAGATGAGGGAGCGTATCGTGCGGCTTCCGCTGCCGCTGCCGCTGCGCCAGTACGTGAACCTGGACCGGCCGCTGTGAGGGAACCGGGCGGTACTCGACGGAGAAATGTCTGAACTGTGATATATGAGAGTGTAGATTGTCGGGGGACTTCGGCTGAACACTAGGCGGAGTGCCGATCGAACTGCGTTCGGGCTTGGGTCGGTAAGTGTACTGAATCGACTGCTATGAGGAGCGAGAGTGATGTTGGTTGGAATGGATGTTCATTGTACACAGAGAATAAAGAAGTACCTACCTGCTAATATACGTAACTAAAATACGATTTACTGAAGCTAATGCGACCAACCCAAAATAGTGCTAGAATGGGATAACTTCGTGCATGCCCATCTCTTCTCCCATGACAGCCTGGTAGACGCATTGGTTTGAAGCGGTGTGTGTACATCAGCGTTTTCTGACTTTTTATGTATCAGTCGCACTGTTAAACAATCCAAAGGTTATGCAGTCTCGAAATATTGATTTGAGCATGCTAGTGATGGTTGCTCACCAGAAAATGATGTCGGCGACAGGAGTGATACCATGCGGGGATGTCACTTATTGAGAGTTACTTCGTGATTTATTCATAACCAAGTGGGCTGTGGTGCATGCATGCGTACTGGCCCCCTTTTTCAGCAATTTTTGCGCGTGAGTTGTGTGTTGACCGCGACAGAAAGGCGTTATTTTCGTTCAATAGGCACTGCTTCGTTTGTCAGGGCTGAAAGTGGAATACTGCGCAGAATGTTCTCGCTCGATGCTGATTGGCTGTTGGGCGCCTTGTCTGGTTCGTGATTGGTGCATATTTGGTGGCGAGACCTATGATTGGCAGAGTGGTTCACGTCCTTCAGCGCAGAGCGTTTCTCTCAGATATTGTGTAGCCTGTAGGTGATATCCGATCTGTTAGATTTCGTAGCTCTCTCGCGGCTTATCAGCTGCAACTGTGCATCATTTGCAACTGCTACTTAAAGCAAGTCTGGTAATTCTTATTGGATCGATAACGTATGTCTATCCCTGGTTTGTATATGAAATATTGGCGTTGCAGGTACCGGTAATCCACTAAACACCTCTTGCTACCAGCCAAGCTACTCATGGTTAAGCCGTTTTGAGGCGGACTGTTTTCAGACTAACGGGTGTCTACTAAATAATGAGAAAAAGTTTAAAGGCCTATATCTCGGTAATTACGTAACTTAGATCATTCAAAATTCGCATGAGGATGCACCTATTTATTGGTTATCAAGAACCTTCGAAGCAACGCACTGAGTTCATCATGTTTCACGCCAGGCCGCACGAGCCACCCGACCCCCTCGATCAAACGTCGCGGCACCTTCGCGTTAAACGAGACCGATAATTTCTGACTTCGCGTCTTCAGATGTCGGTCCAAAGCTGTGGTCTAGTCCCCTAAATATATTTCTTTTTTGGCAAAGCCTCACAAGTCTTAAAGTGGCCAAAGCTGCGACACGCAGGGTGAATTGTCCTCTCGATCTTCCAAGGGTATGCCGACCCCCTCCAACATTGGGATGGTTTTAATGGCATAATGGCCGAAAACTAAGTCAAACCGGAGCTTATAGCCACCACTTGGGTAGTCAACGTCTTGTGTGGCCTTGGCGACCCTCAAAAATAAGGAATCGACACCTTTTCTAGCCGTCCCTCGCACTAGAACACCCTTCCAATGTTAACTCATTTTGGGCATATGGCTGGCAGTACCTCCCCTTCCGGAGACACCGTCTAGCCACATCAGTAAGCTGGAAACCGGCAAGGAAACTTGTCCTCAGGTTGCAGTTGTATCACCCGTTTCTGCTAAACCAACGTTACAGTGACCCGCCACAGCATGTATTAAACAAGTAAACAAAACAGCAATACATAGCACGTCCGCTCTCGGCCTCTGAACTCCCTGCACAAACCCATCAGCCCACCACCGGGCCCGACATATCTAGTCCACACAATTCCACTACTCCGTTCAAACGAAAGCGAGCACGCACTGCCGGTGGCGGGCAGGGCGAACGCCACCGGTCCCACCTGTCGGCGGGTCACGTAACTACGGTTTCTGCTAAACCAACGTTACAGTGACCCGCCACAGCATGTATTAAACAAGTAAACAAAACAGCAATACCGCCATGGAGAGAAAAACACACCAACTGAGCGAGAACAGCGAAACTGAAAGCACAAACCAAGCGCACAGAACCCCGTGTGAACTGTATCGTCTAACGAGCGACGCTCAGGAGAAGAGGGTGTCAGTATACGCACGGTCGACCTCACCGTGCACATAGTGGTCCAAGAACACTGATCGCGTCTTCCATTGCCCTAGGCGCTGAATGTCATCAGTATCAAAGCCCAGCTGCACCGCACGCGTCGCGCCCGTCGGTCTAAAGTCTTTCGGCCGATGGCCTGGTGCCAATCCAAACTTTTCAGCCAATGAAATCGCCTCCCGGAGAATCTGAGACACCGTACTAGCAGACACCGCGGTAAAGGGCTTAACAAGCGTTAAAAACGCCGGCTTCTCCACTGGACATCGCACTGAGTCGGTACGCGCAAAATACGACTTGAGCGCCCCCACAGGGTCTACCTGGGGATCCGGACAGGCGGGCAGGGTAACCTGAAACCCCGTTCTCTGGCTGTCGTTCTTTACACCCAAAAAGGTTACCTGGAGAGAGCCGTCCTCTCTGAACAAGAACTGATCAGTCGACATCACAAAAGAAGATACAAGGTCTGTGTTAGTGTCGTACGTTTTAGCCCGTGGCGCTACGTCTGACGGTCTTAACATCAACGCTAAAGCTAACAAAACAATGGTCTTCAACCTAAGGTGTTTAACGGACAGGTCGTCATTACCTGACCAGGCACGAAACAGACGCATGAACGCAGAAATATCCATGACGGCCGACCTGGCCAACGGCGCGCGCGTGCCACTCTTCACAATACCCTGCAACAACCGAGCAACAAACGGGTCGTGCACGGGGTTAGCAGCACCCACTGCCTCATACAGCGCAGATACGGCGGCAGACACGCACCGGACAGTGGAGTGTGGACGAGAAGAGGAGCCACACCGGTGGATCATGAAGTCAGCCATCACTGCAGGATCGGTCGGCGGAAAAGAAACTCCCCGGCCGCTGCAAAATGTGAACAAATCACGAATGTAACGGTCGTAAGTTTGCAACGTGCTGCCCGCCAGGCTCAGTTGCATACAGTTGCTCGCTGTCCGAGACCAACCACGAGCGGCTAGCTGTTCGCGCCAGATATCCTCCAGGCGAACAGACTCCAGCGGCAGTTGCGCCGCGGCTCTATCTCCTGCTGCTCGGCCAGGGGGAGACACGAGCTCGTCACCGGCGGCAGTCGCAGCGGCGGCGCCGTGGACAGCCGGCGGAGCCGCGCCATCCACGGCTGCCCCGGCCACATGGGTGCTATCAGCGTCGCGACCGCCCGCTGTGCCTCCACGATGTCCAGAACCCTCGAGATTAGACGAAACGGAGGGTTCACCCAGTTGTTCTCCGCGCCCCAATCGGTCTGGCCCAGCGCGTCGATCCCCGCCGAGCAGGGGTCGGCAAACCGACTGTTGTAGGCGGGAAGTAGCGCCGTATTGAACGACGCGAACCGGTCCACTGTATGCGGCCCGAACATCCGGTCGAGCTGCCGGAAAACGAACGGATGTATCATCCACTCATGACGCGCCGAAACACGCGAGAGAGCGTCAGGACCTGTGTTTGAAACACCCGCTATATGATGCGCGACAAGCGACATACCATTCTGTAACGCAAATGCCCATATATCTTGGGCGACACTATCCAAGCGAATATTGGAAGATCCAAAATTATTAATGTGCGCCACAGTAGCAACATTGTCAGACAGAACCTCCACTGTTTTCCCAACTAACGCTGAACGGAATGAAAGGAGTGCCAAATATACCGCGAGCAGCTCTCGATAGTTGACCGACTCGCCACTCACCCGACAGTCCCAGAACCCGGACGCCAGCTGACAACTGTGCGCCGAGAGAACGGCTCCCCAGCCGGAGCCCGAGGCGTCGGTGGCGAGCTGCAGATCGCAAGCAGCTGGCGGCACCAGCAGCCGGCCGTTCCAGCTGTCCAGAGAGGACACCCACCACGACAGATCGTCCCTGGCTCCGGGGGACCACGTCAGCAGCGACCCCCAAGACGACCTGGAATTCAAAAGTCGGTACACATTGCGAAGTTTCAACTTTGCGGGGAACACCGCGGCGAGCATACTAACGCAACGACCGGCCATTCGAGCCAGCACCCTAGCTGACACGTTAGAACGTTTCAGTGACCTCGAAATGTCCTGTTTTAGCTTGCGGATTTTAGCCTTCGGAACTGTTATCAAAGGCGGTCGAGATGCAGACGCACAGTGAACGTCAAACCCTAAATACGTAACTGAATCTGACGGCGTGAGACAGGACTTATTAAAATTAACCGCAAGCCCCAGTGCCTTGAGGGTATCCAACAGCACGCGCATGTCCTCCTGAATTCGTATTTTTGACGAGCAAAGATAAAAATCATCCACATATGCCATCAGGGATAGAGAGTGAGTAGGACCACGCAAATACTCGACGACAACACGAATACATTTGTGGAAGAAAAACGGCGAACATTGCAAGCCAAACGGTAGACAGCACCACACCCACCAAAAACCGCCAAACTGAAACCCTAAATACGTTCGGAACTCAGCCCTGATCGGAAAATGATAAAAACCATCCTTCAGGTCTACGGTGACAGCCTGCTCACCACCGCGCACTATCTCCGGCAGCACATCAACACCCTCAGAAGAAAATTTGGGCGTGTCACAATGCGAGTTCACGTACCTGAGGTCGCATATCAGTCTGAACTTGCCGCCACTCTTGGGTACTACCTTCAGCGGCGATACACAATGGGGCATGTCGCGAACTCGCCGAATAATACCCCTCTCTTCCAGCGCACTGATTTCTTGGTCCAAAAACGTTTTCTCTACACCACTAAACACTGGATTAGTGAACACTCTACGCTCGGGTTCACGCACGAGGGGGATGGGCACGCCCTCCGTCACCCAGTTAAGTACTGTATCAGACGCACCGATCCCCGCCCAGGCCTCCGGCCGCAGCACCATGTCCACTCTCACTATCAGTCCGCAGCTCCGGCCCCCGCCCCACCAGACTGACTCGACCTCGGCAGGTCACGTGACGGCGGCAGACCGGGACGACCGCGGCTCCGCCAATCAGACGACACCGGGCCGCCGTAGAACCGTTGGCCCTGCGGCGCTGGACCTCGCCAGCGACCACGGTCAGGAACTTGGCTGACCTGACGAGAATGCTGCCGCGCCCCGGCAATGGCCACGGCGCGCTGGAGATTTTCCACTGCTCCAGGCGTGAAGGTCGCCGGGTTGTGTTGCAGCGTCTTGAACAGCTGCGCCGTAGAGTCGTCGAACTGGTTGGAGACAATCAGATGAGTGTACTCCTCTTGTAGGAACCTGAGCTGAGCCAGCGTCACGGTTGTGAGCTGGTCAATCACTGGATCAGCTACCTGCGCCGAAGACAGTATCTTCAAGGCGGTTTCCTGGAAACGGGCGCACTTCTGGATGACCTGGAAGCGCGCTAGATCAGCCTTGCCGATGCCGGCTCGGGAGTCACCAACCACCAAGTCCTGAGGGAGCTTGACCTTGCTCAGGCTGTCCCGAATCGCTCGAAAGTCAGCCTGCAGATCTGCTGACGCGCCGAAACTCGGCTGCTCCTGCTTCTCACTGGGCTCAGCAGCCTCGGCTGCACTGAGAGCCGTTGGAGCCACGTGCCGACGACCGGCGTTGGGCTCACTCACACGAGCGTCAATGACGCGCACTGATGCCTCGATGGCACTCACTTTTCCCGCCAACTCGCGGATAGCAGTCCTTAATTCCTCCTCCATCTCCGCACCGCTCAAAGCACATGCGGAGACCCGAACCGCCTCAAATACCGGCGACTGGGCCACGCACAGGGAGCTCCGAGCTCTGCCGAAAGCGAGCACGCACTGCCGGTGGCGGGCAGGGCGAACGCCACCGGTCCCACCTGTCGGCGGGTCACGTAACTACGGTTACAGGAGCATACAAACCGGCAACAGATGACATTTCTGTTCCTGGGAAGGCCAAACAGCTTTCGTCACCCATTACCATCTCCACTTTGTGAACAGTTGACAGCGTGCCCCTGAACGGCCGACGCAAACGCCGTTATTCTCTGCGTTCCTGCGCTTTGGTGATAACGGGTGTCTGTGTGCACCTCAGTTACTTAATTGCACGTTTTCTAAAGCAGAAACTACGACATAATAGTGGCAAATATTAAAGCGTCACGCCAGCAGGCACATTGACACCCCTCACTTTGTCCTTCGCACCCCATAGCAGGGGATCTTATTTCTGTGGCGAAACTCGCAGAGTTACAGCCACTTCAAACTTTTGTCTAGCATGCTGAACGTTTCCTCTTGTCCGAAATATCATAAATATGCGATTGGCACTGGACTAAAAACCTTTAATTTGTACTTAGAGAGCCATAAGTGTATTCTCCGGTATAGATCGGTAATTTTCCTTCAGATTGGCGAAGATTACTCGGAACCGTTGCATGCTTAACGTCCTCCTGGCGGCTGACCGTGGGATGTCATGTTTTCATTTTGTGTGTTTAACATTCGCAACAAATTGGTCTTTCATCATGAGAATTATGCATATTATGTGTTACCATTAAAGGTGCGTATCAACTCCTTAGAAATTTTCTCATTATTTAGTAGACACCCGTTATGTGATGGCACTTTATTCGCACTGATAACCTGGCTAAGTCTTAACGTTATATGATGATAATCACCCAGTGTTCGATATGTCGTTTGTTGCAGCACTCAGTGTCTATATTGCAGGCACGGCTTTGGTCGGTTGTAGGCCGTCGAGGTGTCTATCCGAGCTGCGGTGTGCGGTGCGGGCCTATGTTGCGTTTTGTGTGATAACGGACCTCGGCAGTGGCCTGTGTGGTTCAGACTCGCCCTGAACCGTGTGGAGGATGACGGACGGGGCAGTGGCGATCGCCTCGTTCGAGTTGAACGGGCGGGCTCGGGTGTGTCGACGTTCGCAGTCGCGTGTCGCGGACGGCGCAGCCGTGCAGTGTTGTATAGATATACATATATAATAATAAACCTGATCAGACCGATACAGTCCTTTCCTCCATAGACCTGGGAGCAGTTAATCGACACCTATCAGAGCTGGCGCCATCTCACGGACATCTCACTTCAGTATGACAATCTCAAACACAGCCCATAGGCGCTAGTTGGTTTATTCCGACGCCAGTAGAGGGCGCAGCACAATATAGGCAGGTTAGGCGAGCACATCCGTCACTCACTCTCAGTCCGCAGTTTCGACCGCGGACCGCCTCATCACATGAAGAGCCTATGTACACGGGGCGGGGCGGCGGCGGCGCCCCCGACGGCCCGGGCAGTCAGTAGAAAACTATGAGTGGGCCGGCGGCCTGCGCAGGCGCGCCATTAGTGAATTACGCGCGCCGACGGCCGGCCTCGCCCTGTCTTTGTGCCGCCCGCCGGCCGCCTCGAGCTCTACGTGGCACTATCCATTAAATACAGCTACGTGTGATGGCGTATGGCAACAAGGACGATCAGGCCGGCCAGTAGCCCGCGCGCAGACAAGCTCCAGAGCGCGACACGGCGCAGGCTCTCTCTCTCTCTCTCTCTCTCTCTCTCTCTCTCTCAAACTCTCCCTCTCCACTCTATCTCACCCAGTTTCCAATCTCATCCCGTTTCTTTGGGCGCACATTGCGGGTTACCGCGCATCGCACGATGGCACGGCGCCTCCAGTTGCGTCATCAGTCCACCGATGACGTCACAGCATGTTACGCGCGCCGCCGTACGAGCCGGCCATCATGACGTTGGTGACGAAGTTGACGATGGCGGAGGCCGGCTGGTCGGCGTCATACTCGGCGAACAAGTGGCACTGGTTGTTGCCACTGGACGGACCCTTCTTGGCCACGAACCCGAATATCCGCCTGTGAGCGCAGAGGGGCGGGACGGAGTCAGAGACGGTATCACGACAGCGGGTCGGTGTCATAAGGTGGCACCGGAATGGGATGGTTATAAATCGTTCAGCCTCAACTCAATAGTACAGTCGTTGACATGCCATTTTTATCCAGTTGACTTGGTGATCCCGTCTGATAATCGTTCTCGAGTCATGAGCGTTGGTGCCTCATGGGAAAATTAGCACTACAAATAAGGTAAAAATGAGACGTTTGTGTACTATTTCATGCTTAAAAATAAACTGCTGGCACTTTGTTTCTGATGCTCAAAGATCATCCATTCAACCTCATCGTTACACGGATTCTCGGCACGCCGGCCTGCGGAGTTGCCGCGCCCGTCGCCACGCGGCGCTGCCGTCGCCACTCACAGGGATCCCACGGGCTGTCCGTCGTCACCGCGCTGGGTCCAGCGCCGGTCCTCCGGATCCAGACTGCAGTGGGACACCAGGGCCGTGTTGTAGTGCCGCCTGTCGGAGGAAGGGAGGGAGGTAGTCAGACATCGCCCGCAGAGGTGGAGAGCAAACTCCGCTGCTGAGGTGTCCATGGAGCTCATGCTGACCGGTTCATGATTCAGCGAGATCGTTGACCAGCGCGACCGATGCCCAGCTGTCACCGTTCCGTGCTTCTATCCTCAGGATACTGAAATCTTTCTCCTCCACGCCGCAACCCCCTCCGGGCTGGACAGGCAACTTTATCTCATGCGGGCTGTTCCCTTGGAGCAGCACCGCTGCTCCCGAGGGAGCGCACCCCGTAGCCGGGTGCAGCGAGTACCTTGGGGCTGGGTGGCCTGTCCTCTGGACGGGCTCAGCCCCGGTGACTCGCTAGGGTGCCTGCCCAGACCAATGTCTCCCCCTATATCCTATCTTCCTCCCGGCTCTGAAATGGTCTCATTGGACCGAAAGGGCCTAACCCAACAAAACAAAAAACAAACCCAGCTGTGACCTTCGGAACAGCTCGGACTACCGACTATCCGGGCTCACATACGGACTGGCTCACATACAGGTAGATTCTGACCAATCTGACCGTGGTGCCGCCTATACCTACGGATCGATTCTCAGTCTCATCTACTAAGAATCTACACCTCCTCTCACTGTTTCTCACCTGAAGAACTGTTTGCGAAGGCTGTCGGTGAGCGTGATACCCTGGTGGGAGACCTTGAAGTGCACCACGACGCCCTCGGGCAGCGGCTGCTTCTTCAGCAGCTCGGTGGTGGCGCGGCGCACCGCCTGCGGGCCCGTCAGTGCCTCCGTGTCGCACGACCAGAGGTACAGAACGCTGCAGGCTGGAATAGCAGGGGGCATAGAACAGGAGTCAGCAACGACCAGAGGTACAGAACGCTGCAGGCTGGAATAGCAGGGGGCATAGAACAGGAGTCAGCAACGACCAGAGGTACAGAACGCTGCAGGCTGGAATACAGAGAGCAGAGAGTCAGCGCGGAGCCGGGAAGGGTGAGTAGCCAGCACAGGTACCGCATACCGCAGGCGGGAATACAGAGAAAGGATGACTCGTGAGTCGTGACCACCGAGCAGCGATCACAGCTTCGGAACAATACCAGCTATAGCATGAATAAAAGGAGTATGGGCAATCAACAGCGACGACATTCAGAAGACGCCGCAGCCTGGAGAATAGATAGAACAGGAGTGCGCAGCCATCGCATGTACAAACTACCGGAATTGGGAGCATGACACTGGCGCACAGAGACCATGGGTGGGCACCAAACACGCTACCAATACATCCTTGCCACTCCCTCGACCCTCTCCCTCCCCCACAGGCCACGCTCCTCCCCATCTCCCGTTCCCTCCCAGCTGCATCTCCCCTCCCTCCACTGACCAGCGCCGGTGTCGAGCAGCGCGCGGTGTTTCTGCGCCGCCGCCGGTGCCGAGTCCACTGCGTCCTCCATGCCCAGGTCCGCCTCCGGCAGTGTCAGCTTGCACGGCAGGTCCAGCTGGGTGATGCTGTGCTGGTACACCAGCGCAGACAGCGAGCCAAACGTCGGCTCGTTCGGACATCCCTTCAGGCGCACGCCTTTGTTGGTGGTTTCGATGAGGAAGTGTCGCACCAGCTCGCTGGCCGGGTCGCCGCCGCGCGAGGGCGCGCTGGCGGGCGGAGACTCCACCTTGAGCGCGAGACCGAACGCGCCCGGGAACGAGTTGGAGTCGCGGATGATGAACGATCCAGGCGCCTTGTCCCGCAGAAGGGAGATGGCTGTGGGAGGGAGGTCACAGGTCAGGTCACAGGTCAGGTCAGTCACGAGGTTGGGTGACATTTGATCGCCTATCTTTGTAACTGCCCTTACAGGGAAGATTCTCCATGAGTTGACAAAGCGGTCACAAGATTGGTTAGCGTCCTAACCAAAAATAAAAATTGATGGATGAAGTTGTGAAAAGTAATAGTAGAATATGCAGCGATGATGCTTACAAAGAAGCTCCTGATGTCAGAGCCATAATGTTCTGGTTCGTGGCCCTCCCGTCCCTTACCGTTCCCTTGCGCACCCTGCAGAGATACTACCCTCTAGCCCGTGACCGTACCTTTGTTTCCTAGGCCCTCGTCCACTCCCGTGTGCACCCCCTTGACACCCCCGCTAATCCGTACCCCTCCTATCCCTCACGTACCCTGTTCTCTGCTGATGGACGGCTTGTACCACCACCGGCTGTTGTCGCGCACGAAGGTCGGGTGCGCCGAAATGACCTCCGTGTCGGAGCTGACTGACGACTGGCGACTGCGACCGAGACCGCCCGGCGGCGACGACTCGAGCGCGGCCGACTGCTCAAAGTGCACCTGGTGCACTCCGGGGGACGGCGAGCGCTCCCTGCACGAGAGGGGAGAGGGTTAAAGAGGGGGGTGGCTATGGGGAGGGGAGGGAAGCGGCTGAGATTGAAGACTGCCGCTGGGGAAACTGCTTGTGATCAGTGATGTTTCGCAAGACGTTGCTAATTGCTATTGAAAACAACCCTAGAAAGACGTGAAGGAATAAAAAGCAATAACTGTTTGAGGTATCTGAAAGTGTTTAGCTGATTATTTGGCATTATCCATTGCCATAACTCCAATTCGTAGAATAAACCCATGTTAAAATGATTCCGGACTGGCTTCTTTGTTTGTTATGCTAACAAGTAACAACACAGGCTAGTTGATCGGATCAGCGATTCAATATGGGACAAGCAGCAGGTCGGCTCGGTGCCTCGCCAACGGCCAACACATGACAACATTGTACTGGGTATCGACAAACTAAAACTAAAGAGAGACCACTCAACAGAAACCGAGAACACGTGTAACACGTAGAGAGGTCACCAACTTGCCAGAACGGAGCAGTAGAACATAAAACCACCGCTACAAGGTGGTAGGCAACCAATAAATTCATCTCATGCCTCACAAATAGCTTCACATTTCAAGGAAACTGATCACGACCATGCAGAATTCCGAAGTTGTGGACCTAAGCAATCTGGTGCAATAGTGGAGCGAGACACTCGTGCAGGCTGAAAGAGTTGATCCATGCATGTGTAGAGGCAGGTCGGGCAGGGAAAGGGTGCCATGTCAAATGTGTACTAACTGTGCCTCTATTTAGACCCGGCGGCTGCCGCACTGCACCTGACACAGCGTCAGATACTGTACCGCTCCACTGTCAGAGGCGGTACTGACAGCAGCCGCCGGGCGGACAGGCCGTGCATTCAGAGGCGTGCAGGTGGCGCCACTTACGTACCTGACCGGCCCCGGCACCTGATAGGGCGTTCGTGTGTACGTTTTAGTCGTCTGGGTGACCGTCAGCAGTTTTCTACAGAGGGGAATACAACAGTCTGCGTTCAGAGCCCGCACCACAGCAGAGCGAACGGCAAATTATAGTTCAGTGGGCTCCGGTGAAGTCCCAGTCAGTTACGTGTAAGTTGCTGAAGCCGGTTTTATTTAGCGTCATTGAAGAGCATTAGCCAGGCTTATTAGCTAACAAAATAAGAATCAAAAGAAGGAGCACTACCATGAATGATTCCAAAGCTGGAATTGCTTGAAAGTTGGTCATCAGACTTGAGTTTGAATAAGTTGAGGAAGGGGAACCAAAAATAGAGGGCCAATGAAAGAAATCAATAATTTATTGATTAGATTAGTCAAGCGTTAGATGGTTATAAATGCGGATAGCAAAATAAATATTGATTGGAAAGGCATTGTTTAACATTCAAATTTACAGTGCGTCGATCTCATATGAACAACAATTCATCGTAACAAAAAATACATTACTGGTAAAAACGTTCACTTGCAATATCCTACCCAATATGAGTTTAGCCGGAACGGCCCTGGTGGTAGACTAGGACAACCTACAGTTCCTACCGACAACCAGAATCGTCATCTGCCCCCATCTCGTCCTCTGAGTGACGGTACAACAGCACCCTTCTCTCCTTTATAGTGACTCACCGCTGGCTGGTGGGGCTCTTGGGCGGCAAAGTCTGCGACTGGTCCTGGTAGGGCGTTCTCGGCGGGTTCGGGAACGCCGGCGTCTCCGGTCTCGGCTCAGATGGGTCCCTCACCTGCACGGGGAGAGCGGTCAGAACAGTTTGTAGGCAAACATTGCCTAGGGTTAGACGACCCGTCACCTACCACCGCAGGGTCCTCGCTCAGCGAGGGCGATACAAGGAGCTAGGTAGCTTCGGGGACACTAAACGGAGCAGAGCTAGCTGATAAGGGAGCATCAACCAAAGGACTCAAACTGGGGTCATCAGTGACATAAAACATATTAGTGTTGCCACGGACATGTAATAAATGGAGGGAATATTAGTTGTAAGCCGTCATGACAGCGCCATTATACAATGAGTGATCACTAATCAGCACATCAGCCATATCATGCTCCTTCTCATTATTCGTTAGTGTCTGACATGTTACCCGTCACGAGAGGCACTGCATATTCACCCTCCGTTCCTCATCATACGGATGTATAAATCACAGTCACGAGAGTAGCGCTTACTTGGGAGCGCCGCCAAGCCGGTACAAGCGGCGCGTGCAAGCCCGTCCCGGATATTTACATTGAGACCTCCCCGTAGCTACTCACTAGTGCGGGACACACGTGCTTTGACACACATTGAGTTGACTCTGCTATCCCACGCATGCTGGCCCCATTAGCCGACGTTATAGCTTCTCACCTGATGTGTGCGAGGGTTGCGTAAATTAACGACCTTCAACCGGTATGTTAGTTCTTCTAATTTAGTCAGCTGCAAATAGACAGCGGGCGAGCATGCAGTTCAATGACCGAGTTTCAGGTCGGGCAGCTGAACGCTGCGGGCGGCCAGAGCTAGGCAGCGAACTGGCCAGGTTAGCAGCGAGCGTGGTTAGCCGGCAGCGGCAGTGGCGTTAACACAGCGGTCGGTAGCACACTGAACGAGCAACACACAGTCCAGGAGTGTGTGAGGAAGGGATCAAGGTAGGTGGGCCATGCTCATTGCTCACGGGATGTTACAACCGGAAAGCATGCGTGTTAACCGTGGATTCCAGGTTTACGAATCCGTCACAGGTGCAAGGGGCTACAGGTGTAAAGGAAGTGAGCAACATATGTGCTATGATGTGAATTGTGAATCAAATTGACGGGCAGAGGTTTAGGGGCGGTGAGGGTAACCCACTACCAAAAATCACGGCACACTGTCACACATTTTCCAAAACCAATTAGGGATCGTCTCATAAGATCAAAACTACAAACACAAAAACCACGACGAACTCGATCATTCATCTAAAAAAATATACCAAAACATCACTCTGCCACAAAACCATTCAACACCAAAGACTACCACACGAAAACCACCAAAAACGGGACACCTCTCGACCACCGCGCCTCAGAGCTGCGGCTGCTGGTCCCACACTGCCGGTCACTGGGTCACTGCGGGGTCACTGCACCGAGGGTCACTGCATCGTGCACAGTCGGCGGGTCGGGCACGCCTTACCCAGCGGCCGCTGCCCGTGTAGTGCCACGGACTCTCGGCACGGTCCTCGGGCCACACCAGGGCGTCAATCTCGTCTTCCGGCTGTCGGGAGCGCTCGTGTTACCACGGATAGACCACTGAATTGGGTGTGAACGATGAAGAGACAGAGCAGGCGATGCTTACGGGAGGGAGATTAGGACTCCTAATTATGGGACCCATAGCGATTTAAAGCTTTGCGCGAGTCAGACGTCACTTTTGGAAGTGATTGGCAGACCGTTACGTGACAAATAGAAACATAGTTTTTTACAGATCATACATACCACTCGATACAGCTAGAAAATCGTTGTATAATTTTCATTTTTACAGATTTAAAGCGGAAAGTACGATTTCTCCGAGCGGCAACAAGGCAATTTCTAAGCGGCCTTGTATTGCTGAAGAAGTCTCTGGGTTAAGTTTTAAAGTGCTGCCGATCTTTCGAGATAACGTACCGACGGCTGGATATCCAGTGCAAACCGCACTGACGGTCTTCCGGCGCGGTTTCTCATCACGTTTCCTATACCTCCACGGGGGCACCTCGACTTCTAAATCACGCTTTCACAAGTACGGTCTCACATAAAATGATCTGCACCGAGCGAGTTACACTCGCAGAACTCTAGACACCACTATACACCGGGATGAGGGTGATTTTGAGACAGATTAGCGCACACACACAGTTTTGTATCCACACACAGCCGGCACGGGTCGGGTCAGGAGACCTCCAGTGCGCCACCGGCCCGCCGCCAGTCGCAGAGACCACTGCCTGCCACCGCCGCCGCCAGGACTCAGAAGGGACCTGTGCCAGGTGCGGCGACGCACAAACCGACGCCGCCCCGACTGTCAGGAGCGCCAGAAGTGAGGCGGGCCAGACTGTCCACCAGATGACAGTGCTATGTCACATAACTGTTCTGTCACATCTGGCAGTGACCGGACTTCAGAGGACAGGTGGTAGCTACTGCTACCTCATGTAGGATCGCAAGCGACAGGTCTAATGGAGATCGATGAGGTGAAGGATTTGCCAGGACGCGCTCCGACGGAGCCAATGAGTTAGAGGTTTGGCAGGTCTGCGGGTTGATGAGAGCGGTCCAAAATCCACCCACAGGTCTGGCTTAGTGTGCGACGGCGACCACGAGAGGATCTACTCCGCCCGCCAGACTGACTAATGGACCGATAACCGTTCCGCCCATCGACATTGGCACTCCACGTCGGGTCATAATGAACCGTAACGGTCACTGGCACGTCAATAAGGACTTGGCACAGACAGATCAGTCGACTACATCGCTCACCACAAAACATTTCATTCCAACACCACTTACGATTCTCAACATCACTCAACTATACAAACACTCATTCACCAGCACATGGGGCCATCACATAGCCAGCGAAGCCAAAGCGTGTCCTAAAACCACATCCGTGCGCCGTGAATCCCACACTTTACATAAAAGCAGTGACAGCCTCAGAGCTCTAGTGCGTTTTTCTACAACACAGCGCGGCAAGATAGGCACTAGCTAGTCAACTTACACCACTTTGGCCATTCACGGTGGTGAGAAGACCTTCTCGATCGCGAACGGGGGTGGAGGAGTACTGGCTGTACTGAGTCGTCTTCGTTAGGTGCTGCAGGCAAACAAACGACAAGCGTACGCGCTCACTCGGGGGGCAGGACAACACTGAAGCAACTAAAGAAAAATAGCTAGGCGGGAGAAAATAATAATGCATCAACTAAACTAAGCAGTCGTCTAGCTGAAATTTATCCGAGATGACATAGTGGGGCAAAACAAAGTGTTAGCCAAACTTAAAACTTTTATGAAAGGATGACAGCGCGCTAAATAAAAATGAATAGCTGGTAAAACAGCGATAGTTACGCATAAAACAACACACTGGTTTTACGATTAAAAACGACAACATTTTAAAGCTCAAATAAATCACAACACAGTGGCAGCGTTACGAAAGCGGGAACAATCCACTATACTGCACGTCTAAAACTATTGTTGGCAAGCCTGGAAATACAACACACGAAGTGGTTGTCACGTCTTCGCTGCCATTCATCGACATCATTCACCGCTTGTGGCATGACTGACTCTGTAATACCCACGAGTCATGACTCTGACTCGCCATCAGCTGTTACTGATGACTCACCGTCAGGTCAGAGTCGCTGATTTTTCTCTGATCGCCCCTGAGCACCTGCACGTGGGGTCTCTGTCGGTCGTAGGCGGTCTCGGAGCGGTGCCTGGCCAGTGGCCGCTGCACGCTGCCGTACTGGTTACTCCTGTATGGGCAAACGGAGGGACATGGGGACTCAGTTAGGGACGGAAGCTGTACGGCTCCGTACTGGTTACTCCTGGATGGACACAAAGAGAGACACACAGGGGGAGCAATGAGAGGTGATGCTGTTTACACACGCCAAAATGCGCATTTACCCGACGAAGCTGACGCATATAAACGACATAAGCGTGATTCAAATAAAAAGCCGCTAGCGTTGTTTGAATAACATTGCCGTTGAAGTAACATTGTAGTTTGGTGTCACTGGTCTCTCGTTTGGCCCTACAGCCCACAGTGTTCGTCAATATTTGTCTTGCAGACACCGCGTCCCGTTCAAAGGCTCACCACCCATCTCTGTCACTCCAGCCGCCTGATTGGAACGCTCTGTGACGCCGGCGGATATAGCTGCTCATCAAGGCACCGGGAAATCACCCTCCAGTCCCCACACCCACCCGGTCTGAAAACATCCCGGCCCCTACCGTTTGACCTCCGCACCGAGCCAATTCAAACAGCGCCGGTCTGTACGGGGCAGCACATCAGTCACAGAGCCAGAGAAAACACGCAGGAGGGCGGACCGTGGGCGGCCGGTAGTGCAGAGGTGACGTGGCAACGCGGTAACGAAACACGTCCGAGACAAATACAGCGGTGACCGATAGCTGAGCCACTGATTTTCCCCCTGTTCTTTTCTTTTTCAACCATTGCCTGTGTAGTTAGTGCTTAGGCTCAACGAGCCAATAAGCCCTGAACTTATCCGTCTATCTGTGAAAAGTCTGCTTTGTCCCTTCAATTCTAAATCTTTGTCCCTCTCTCCTCTGGATTTCTCTTTTCCTCTCCTCTACCCTCTCTCTCTCTCTCTCTCTCTCTCTCTCTCTCTCTCTCTCTCTCTCTCTCTCTCTCCCTCTCACCTGAAGGAGCTCGCCGTGCTCCGTTCGCGGCTGACGCTGCGCGCGGCCAGCTGCGGCGATACCGGCGCAGAGCTGCCCGTCTTGACGCCGCTCGTGTTGACGTGCAGCGGCGCCATGTGCGCCGGACTCGTCTCACGTGATGTGTCCGTCCAGAGGGTGGTGTCGGATGTGTAACCGTCCTCCAGACCACCCTGCCGCTGACGCAGCTCGTGCAGAACACGCGCCTCCTTCGGCTCACGCTCACTCCTGAGGCAGGGAGAGCGAGCGGTTATAGATGCGTACTGAGGCAGGGGAGGATCGGCAAGATACGTATTGAGGCAGGCGACGAAAGCAAGCTCAAGGAGGGGTTAAACAATGCACTATTATTTCTTATCAATGCACTCTTAGCTATACTGTGCCGCAACAGTCCAAAAAGCTACCGCTAGATGACATTAGTGTCTGCGCCTGTAGATATGCTGTACCGCAATACAACCCTACAAAATTATCGCTAGATGGCATTAATCTCAGTGACTGCAGCTATGCTGCGCCGCAGAACAAATCTACATATGAATCTATCGCTAGATAGCATCTGTGTCTGCGCCTGTAGCTATGCTGTTCCGCGGCGCAGTCCCTAAAATCTATCGCCATAATATATGGCATTAACCCTCGCCGGCACAGGCCATTTTGCGTCCTTCGACGGCACAGGGGGGGGGGGGGTTGGTACGACCCCCCCCCCTTGCGTTTGGCCCCTGATCGAGCTAGAGCTTCGCGGAAAAAACGAGCGTGTTGCCCGTCACGAGAGAAAGCCGATGATACCCAATTTTAAGGTCCTAGGTCATCGGGTGACCTTCCAGGTCAGGTCAATGACCCGAAAACCGGGAAATCGGGACCTGTTAGAAAGTCGTGAAGTGTGGCTGCTATATGGTTTTCCGGGGTGCTGATCACGTTTATCGTGCTAGTTTTGATCAGAGATGATGTCTTTTAGCATTTAGTTCAGGTCGGGTCAGGTCAGGTCAGGTCAACCGGTAGGTGTTGTGACGGGTATTCGTAATACGTGTCAACCGCCTGTGACAGCTTCGTAACATGTTACGAAGGCACCAAAACTACTTCGTAAATGTTCAAATGGTTGCTAAATTCGAATTCAGCTCCAAAAACTAGCCTAGAAACATGTTAAACTCGAAAAAGTGAACCGAGGTCACCCGAGGTCACCAAAGGTCAATGGACCTGACCTGACCTTCAGGTGATCTTGAGACCCACCCTAATGTGTGGGAGCAACATCAAATCACATGTTTGAACGTTTGAAACCACGAAAAGCTTGCAAACGCGCGGCTAATGCGAGCCGACATACGCCGAATCGCGATTCCGGCCAAACATGGTCTCGGAAAAGAGGTCACATGTCAAAGGTCATTTGGGTCAGGGTCATGAAATCGCTATTTCAGGGTAGGTGTAAAATTGATCAATGCGAGGGTACTGAAAGTTTCGTTGCGATCGGCCGCTTTTTACGCGAGTTATTCGCGAAAAACCTTGGGGGGGTTGCATCAACCCCCCCTGTGCCGGCGAGGGTTAAAGTCCGCGCCTGCAGCTATGCTGTGCCGCAGCACTCCAAAAGTCTACCGCTAGATGGCATTAGTGTCCGCGCCTGCAGCTATGCTGTACCGCAGCACAATCCAGTTTGTTTACGCTAGATGGCATTGGTGTCTGCGCCTGCAGCTATGCTGTGCCGCAATAGTTGTATCTACCGCTAGATGGCATCAGTGTCTGCGCCTGCAGCTATGCTGTACCGCAGTACAATCCAGTTTGTTTACGCTAGATGGCATTGGTGTCTGCGCCTGCAGCTATGCTGTGCCGCAATAGTTGTATTGCGGTGTGTTTCAGCTGACAGAAGCGTCATGAAGGAAAAGCAAACACCATAAGGAAACAGCTTGCTAAACCGGTTATATCACGGGAAAGTTGGTGTATAATGCTAAAGACCCGACCATTTTCGTCACAACCAAGCTATTTAGGTACGTACCTACTTGTTTCCGATAAAGGTAGCTATTATTGTTTCAAAGAAATATTTCGACGACACTAACATATTTTTATTGTCTTTACTTATTTTTTAGCACACATACCTCTGTTCACCAGTAGATGCATATTTTCTATACACTATTGACCCACCTGATGCGCGCCTGTTGCCGGTCCCGTAGCTTCTGCTGCTGCTTCTGCAGCCAGGTGATGTTGCCGGCTGAACCGGGTCCGTCCCTGTCAACACAGACGCATGTACGTAAAGACGCGATCATCATCAGCCGTCACCGAAGGAAAATTTTGATGAAGACTTGACAGCTCTTGTCCCTAGTATTCAAGAAATCATATGCAGTTGTTGCGGTATTTTCAAGGCCAAATAATACACGCGATATCTTTCACAAACTACAGCATCATATAAAAATATGCAATGCAAATTTTCACGATCAATGTACAATTTCAATTATAAATGCGACAACAAAACAGACGTAACTAATGACAAATAAAGAAAGACAATGACAGCTTAATCCATCATTCAGGCAAGGAATATGTGTGAAAAGCACATACGACACAACTAACAGCACACAGCACACACAACACAAACAATATGAAAGCATTGTACGTATAACACTGCAGACAACCGCTTGACAACACTCGGCCTAGAAATGAAAATACCACCAGCACAAAACTCTGTCTTACCAGCAGCGGATCATGTCTGCCCTCACGCAGCTACGTCCTTTCCCTATCAAACTCCACAAACCACAGAGAACCCCCGAGTCCAGACTGGGCCCGCTCAGAGCCCAGGGAAACACTAACTGGCTGACTGAGCCATGCCCGGGCCGGCCGACCGACCCACCGAGCCGGCTCGAGGCCCAGCGACCTCCAGAAATAGCGGGCCCAGCCACACAATCCCCTCCGAGCGGGCAAGTTTGGCCCGTACGGACCAACAGCGGTGGCGGTACCCTTCCCAAACTAACCGCATGATAGAGTTAGGATGGGCTGAAACAATTATGAGGTCGATAAGGACCGTTTTAATTTAAACCATATCGAGTAGATGCAGAATCATACTCTATTCGCAGCTGGGTAGATTCTAATAAATCGCATAAATCATTGTCCCATTTTCTAAAAAAAAAAAATCCAGCCTCTAGTTGGTGTAGATGGGAATCAGTGCACCACGAAGTTCTATTCTGAGCCCGCACTAGCATATCAGCGCGCCATTTGGCCGGCGACCACCCAGGAAAACCGGCCGAGGCGAGCTTAAAGCGGCGTCGACTTTCAGTAAACGTGCGGCGCGCTGTTTGGAGGAAGAACGGATGTGTGGCGAGGGCTGCCAAATCGCTCTGACATGAGTCATTGGTGACTGACGGGCCCCGTCAGACGAGGAAAAGTGACAGCTCCACATCGGACGCGCCTGCATAGAGTGAAATAAATAATCTATCATGCATATTTGCTACGGTGCCGGAGCCGCTAAATGATGCGGAGTCCTGTGCAGGAAGCTGATATTTGTCACTCTAAATTAGTCGGTGTCAGGTGATTATGTCAGAGCAGAAAAAATACATACACCATCTGTTTCAGCCGACAGCCTAACGTTTAGGTAGATGAAGTTCTAAAATCTCTAACTGCGGCTATGATGGGCAGCACGTCAGCTTCAAATACAACAGTAACACGCAATGCTGAGAAACGCTTCTTTACTGACATCAATTGAAGCTTAAACACATTGAATAAGTTCCAATGACGAGGGGTTGAGCCGTTTTGAGGTTTCACTGAAACTAAGAGGACCGATTTGAGTCGACCTGATTGAATCATTCAATCAGGTCGACTCGACTATTTGAATGTAAGTAGTTCCTTGTGATTTCTATTTTTGATTAGGAGAGTCTGGATGTCAGCATCCGTCACTAGCTGGCTCCAGTTTAATGACGGCTAGGAAGGTCGTGACAATGAATGCCTACCTGCCAACAGCAGCAAGGTTGTAGGATAGTAAACTGTGTACGGCGTCACCCCAAACAAACCTGCCTGTTTACAGCTGACGAAACACATCCCAGTAAACACAGCATTGTTCAGACAGCCAGGAACGTAACAGAGCCACTCTGTCCTCAGTAAAATGCTGCCACGACCTGTAGCGAACAATTCACTTCATGTGTGCAAACACGCCTGACATCTGCTGGCAGTTAGCAGTGACACAAATTGCCGTCCCTCTCACATTCCACCCGCGGCGCTGTCATCGCACGCAAATGATGGTGTTTGCAGAATGCAGAGCTCTCGAGCTCGGCAAGTTATTGACGAGTGGTAGTGGCCGGGCGATGTGCAGCCTGCTTTACATAGTCGGCAGTAGTGGCCTTGGCACATGCGGTCCTCCATTGATGATGTATGGAGCAGCCGTTGCCGTGCAGGTGCGGGTGGCCTGGTGAGCGGCTGCTGCCAATGGGTGACAGCTAATGACAGCTCTACTGACAGGTGAGGTGAAGAGTAAGGCCAGCCTGTGAGCTCAGAGCAGTGCCAGTCCCAATTATGTGTGAATCGTAATGATAAGTGCAGAAGGATTGTGGGCTTCAAGACAACTTACATTAGCATAACCGTAAGTGCCGTTCAGAATAGATAAAATGCTGTGAGAAAAGACGCTATCATTTTGCAAATATGAAATATTTTATCAGTCATCCAATCTTTGGGCCACTGTGGTAGCGACCACTTATCACCTGGGTCTGAGCCATCGTGACACTAGTCTGAGTTATCCTACCGGTCTGAATCACCAGCCGCCGACTGGACCGGGCGGCAGACAGACTCCCCAACTGACTCAGTTGGCTGGAGTAGAGCCAGAAAATGCCGGACGTCAATGCTGCTCGGGTTGTGACCCCTAGCAGTTGCCACTTCAGGCGCCAGCCACCGGCGCACTTTGAACCGAAGCCAGCATCGAGCCGCCTGACAACCGGGTTTATTTGAGCGGAGATGTTAACAGCGGAGCATCAATGTTATTCAAAGGAGTCGTTTCCGTCTGATGTTTTAGCGTATATCCTCGTAAACGAACGGTTATCCCGTTGCTTTACGCCGGTTGATTTAAAATCCATGTGCAAGCAAGTCACATACATGGAATCTTTTCCACGAAAAATTTGACAGAAGTTCATAAAACGCGTCGACAGTGGTGAAACTGAAACTGATACTGTTTTACGATAAATGCACCGACTACCCTATTTCAAATAACAAACCATAAATTTTTAATTTCATTAGCCCGACACTCGGCATAAAACCTATTAGAGCCCCACTTGTTCCACTGAGGCCCGATCCGGCACCTCCATTCGACAGGTCGGTGACCGGAGGTGCGCCACGTCCGCCTCAGCCGCGCCAGGTCCGCCGCGGCGACCGACAGAGTGGGCGCCTCGCCAGCCGCCCGCCACTTGTTTTGTGTCCGGACTGAATATAAATAGGCCGCCCACGTTCGTCCGCGAGCGTGGTCGCCAACAACAGATCAGGCCACCAACGAAAACAGCGGCCGAAGGTCAGGGCGGCGCAGTGGCGGGCCAGGTGTGACCCGACACCTACGCGCGTCCAGCGCCGCGCTCGCGATAAGCCCTGACCTAACGTCCGACCTTGATAGGCTACTTCCGGGGTAAACTGCGATTCGATCCGAGTCGATGAGGTTGGTAAAACGACACCAGGGTGACACCACGGTGCTGTGTGCGATAACGGTGTTATCGCGAATGGGCATCAAGGTGAGAGTAGCGCGACAAAAGCAGGCTCACGCGCCGCCCCCGCGCGCCCCTGCATCCGCCTCTGCGCGTCGACAGGTACCGGCGCCAGACCAGGCGCCGCACCTGTCACCCGGTCCTTCTCCGGCCCTGTCGGAGCCCGCCGAGCCATCCGTCAGAGCCCGGTGCGTCGGCGCCGACGCGGTGTGAACGACGACCTGTCCGGCGCGGCGCCAGGCCGAAACGACCGCTGCGGGGGCGCCGGCCGACAGGAGAGCCGCCGGACCCGCCCCCTCGTTCGTTCGCGGCCCGCCCACCGGGAGCGAAATGCAGCCTGGCATATCTCAACAAGCTGGGAGGGAGGATCCCAACCGCCGCCGCAGCGCACTGACCTGTTTTTCCGTCAGCGCTGGGTGTAAATCAGCGCTCCACTGTTCCCCGGTGGATGGCAGGAGGTGACAACTCCCCTCACTGCTCGGCTTCATTCACCGCTGCAGCCCTCCTTTGCATATGTCCAGCATTGCAACATTCTAATCTGACCGCCCACCCAGCGATAGTGCTGCATCCGCAACTGAATGAGGACGTGGGTGAGACAGGGACAGCTGAGGACGATTGGGGACGATTGAGGACGCTCTCAGAGCACCGAGGACAGTTCTGAGACAAATACGGTCTCTCGCGGTGGGCGGCGGCCTGCCAACACCGCCCGCCCCCTCCGGAACTGCAGCCGACACTGGTCGGGGTATCGTGGGCGAGGTGGCGCCGCTGAGACACCAAGGTCGAGTGGGAACAGCCCACGCGCTAAACAGAGAACTGAAGTACCGGACTGGATGCTACCGGACCAATGCACTGCTTGGTGTGCCCTGGTGGAGTCTGACCGTTCCTCTTTCTATCCTCTTCGGAGTCGTTAAAATACCGCCATCACCATTACGACATGGCACGGCAGCCAAACGACCTTGCTGTCCGTCAGGTGACATGCTGACGTCAGAATGACGTCAGTTGTGCGGAGAGAAGCAGAGCTAACGTGGGAGGATGCGTGTGCGTCTCTGGCGAGACGCCGGGTGTGAAGAGACTGGCCAGAATTGGAACGACCTTGGAGCGTTGGCAGGTGTCAGGGTCAGGTTTGACTTGGGGCAGGCGTCGGCATGAGCTGGCGTTCGTTCAGGAGCTGGGAGGCGGGAGCCAAACGTAAGGAGTCAGGAGCGAGCCAGAAGTCGGCAATCAGGAGTCAGGAATGCACTACCTTGAATCACGTCTAACGACTATGAGCATTGGATAACTTTTCCAAATCAGGTTGCCAGTAATCATGACTCACTAAACGCGCCGCATAATTTGCATACAGAGCTCGCTATTCGCAAATGGGTGCTTCAGATGCCGAAATTCCCGAGTTCTTGCATTCGCCCACGCAGCGAGCCATCGCTGATACCGGGCCAAGGGTTTGCGGGGGAGGACAATGGGGGAGGATTCAGGTCACGGCTCGAAGGCCATCAGTCAGTCCTTTTTCTGCCCAATCGAGGAATCAGTGCAATAATCCTCCATCTCCACGGAGTTCCACAGAAGCTGGTGCACCCGCTGATCCTTCCGCCTCCTCCGTCTGACAGCGGGCCGGCGCCGTCAGCCCGGGGGCACCTGTGCCGCCCGGCCGGCGCCGCGGTGCGATCAGATTGGGATGGACGGCAGTGTTCGCCACGGGCCCCAAAATCCCCAGCCCAGCCCGGCCCGGGCCCATGGGTTCAGAGCCCGGCCCAGCCCGTAGCCCGCTCTTGGCAAATATGTCCAAGCCCAGCCCGGCCCGGCCCGTCAAAAATAGCAATCTAGTTATTGTCTTAGTCTATTGCTATAATAAGCATGACTGATTACACTATTTTGAGAACAATTCAAATTGCATGAATATTAACATGGCAATCATGACTCCCTTCTTTTCAATAAATATAATGATTTCAAGTACCTATGGCACAAATTTTAACAGTAACAGCAAGCACCTCAGTCAATTAGGTCATGATTTCACACCTATAAAAAGTTTACATGATTATATAAACTACATTCTATGAGTTAAGTTATCTTGCAAGCTGATGTGTGTGAACATTATCATGCATAATTGGTGACTCTAATGCATACTTGAAGGAAGTATTTGCAACTTACTCTATATTTCCCAGCACTTACCAGCAGAAAAAAAGCTTGACTTATGGGAATTGATGAATCTGTCTGGGATTGACCTTGCTGTTAAATTCATTCCATTGATGCTGCAATATCAAAAGCCTGAGAAAACATACAAAATAGGTGACACTAGCTTTAGCACTGTCTTCCAAAAAAGAGAAAATCCATCCATTTATCAGCAAAACTGATTTAATCTATTTTCAATTCATGCCCACGTGTCAACCGAATCTCTGTGGACAACTATCTGCTGCTTTCCTTGCTATTTTATGTTAGGCTCTTTTCAAGATATGGATATCGCTAGCAGCGTAAGCAGAAAACATGGTAAGCTTGAAACGTCATTCGGTACTTTTGCGACTTTTACGCATCATCATCATCAATTGAAAATGAGCGAACACTTCTTGATTGTCGCAGCTGCGGCAGGTGACGATTCTGACCAATTGTATAATAAAACATATATGATCAAGTTTTTATTTTGTTTTTCGTTCGAGTTTTCAGGCTTCGTGATTTAGGTTTTATTTTTTATTTGTTAAATTTTGTTTTTCACCTTGATACTTACTAAAAAAAACGCATTTATTTGATATACTGTTGTGTATACTACCTAGATGCCGCCACATAAACATAGCGCCATTTTGTTGAGAAGGGGATGGAATGGAGAAGGGGGTTGTTGTTGTGATTTATTTTGACCAATTTATGGACATTTAAAGAAGCTTTCATCGCGAAATAATCTGTAGAATTCCTCGTTACTTACAGTGTGTTTCGTGAGTATCCCTTTAAGGTTCTGTTCGTTAAAAAGCCGTCGGTGAAGGAAAAAAGACTGTGTTGGAATTGTCTCACTATCACTATATATAAGTGTTAAACTTAATGTAGCCCTGTAGCCCATCATTGTTGAGTGGCTTCTTAGTTTTTGGAGTTGTAGTGCTAAGTAAGTTATTCTGATAACTACATTTTAACTTATTAACAAACTAATGATGCTAGAGATTCTCTGATCTTTTTGGTTGCGGAATTTTTATGAAAACCCTCCTATGTGTGACATGATGTGATATTGGATAATTCTCAAGATTTCCAAAATTCAATATCAAGTAGGTTTTCTTTCACATTGCTTAAATTTGGTTTAGTTTTAGTATTTTCCCAGTGGGTTTTGTTTGCATCAGTTTCCAAATTTTCTTAAATTGACATTAGTCGCAAAACCCATAGTCCACAAAGCTCTTGGCCCGGCCCGTCCATAGCCCGTTAACTAATGATATTTGGGGGCCCGGCCCAGCCCGTAGCCCAGCCCGGCCCATGGCCCGTTGGGCTGGCCCGGCCCGTGGCGAACACTGATGGACGGACAGCAGACAGACGGTCACGGACGCCCTGAAGGTCACACGACGGAGGAGCGAGACTGGCGTAAGGAGACGGAATCCGCACCGCCCGCCCGTCCGCGCGGTCAGCCAGTCAGACCGCTCATAAATGGATTCTGCGTGTAGTGAGTGTCGTCGAGCAGCGCTCAACACGACTGCGGTGATGATGCCGAGATTTGGCTGGTTCTCTAACCGGTTCACGCCGCCTCGCAGTCGGCCGCCTTTCAGACGCATTGTCATTCATTGACGGATAAATTGTCGCATTGAAAGCGATGTTGTTGAATGAAAAGGAAAGAAAGGTAGAACAGTCTATTGTGCTGTTCTTTTGCAGGGACAGCCACACACCACTCAATGCCGGGCTATCTAAAGCACATACGACTTTTGTTTTACCACCAGGCATAACAACAAGGGCGTTGTTACGACCGGATGCCTTCATCTCCGACCATCAAACATATGACATCATTGGCTTCCAGCGGCGCTGACATCACCCTGCAGCACCGCAATAACCGTCTCGCTATGACGTGATGCGCCCCACTTTGTTCCGCACGCCGACGACAGGCCGTCGGCACCGTATCTCGTCGGCAAAGGCCGTCGGCACCGTATCACGAACAGCGGCCACCGTGCTTCGTCATCTCCCTTCACGACGTCACGGAGATCTCCTCTCTATCTCCACCCCCAACCTCCAGCGGCAGCGGTGACGATTCCAGTCCACTGAGGCACGTCCGGTCGCCGCGGGTCCTTGTGACGTCATTGGAGGACCACAATGACGTCACTGGGGTCTGAGATCGAAAGCCGTATAGGGTAAGGCGGTGCAGCGGGGCAGTCAGGTCAGTAGGGAGAATGTTAGTGAGGCACCGACGGGGGAGTGAATTTCAGCGCGACTTGACAAGGTCGCCAGTTGACTGTGCCAGCTGATGGCGGATTGACAGGACTGCCATATTTCCATACATGGCTGCCATATAAGATCGCCCAAACGTCACATGTGAGGACATCCTACACACGGATCTGGTGAGAAGGCTGGTGAGAAGTGGTGAAAAGTGAGAAGGTAGTATGGTTGTTTTAGGCGGCCTGGTCATTAGACGGTGCGGAGAAAGGCAGGACGCGGCGCTAGCCAGTCGTTCGGACGGCACTTACCTTCGAAATACGTTGGAAGGCCGGCGGCCGCGTAATTGAACACTGTTACCGAGACAAATTGTGATGACCGGAACAAATGGTAACTACGGGGAGTGTGTAACTCCGTGAAACACCTGACAAGTAGGTATGTACAAACAAATCTCAAACGAATTGGAGCATTGGCAATGGTTGCGGTGTTGAAGGGAGGGGCAGCCAAGGCATTATAGAAAAGGTAGCATCTTCAAAAAGATAAAACGTTCATTGATAAATTAAACGTTTACACAAATACGGATGATCTTATTTTCAACTGAAAGCAAATCAAGCTAATTAAATCTCTAGATGTTTTCCAGACTCCAAGTAAGTTGCTGTTCGGACTGAAATCGTGCCATAAGTAAAAAAATAAATAATCTTTTTAATATTTAATCTCTCGTCTTTACGGCTCAGTTTTCCGAAGGGCGGCCGAGAGGAGTGAGCTATTTCATAATCCAGTACGCTTATGAAACGTTACAATGGCCATACACCGCGTCAGGGGAATGAAAGGTTAACACCCGAACAAAAGAGCCAGAAACATAAACAAACAACTAGAACAGACAAAGTACAAGCACCAGACTAAATATTCTTACAGCAGGCACACATTGGTGCGCATCGGATAGCGCAACGTCATGCAGACGACTGTCAAAAGAATACAAATATTAGGTACAATACATCATAAAAAGGCACACAAAATATTCACAGAACAATCACGACCAACTGCACGGCACAAGAAATATAAAAAACACTAAATAAAAAGTCACACGAAGCAAACAAACAAACAAAAATGGAAAGAGTTATTGGAGAGATAGAGAAAGGCAAATAGAAAACGTAGAATAAAAACTCATAAAAAAGCTAATGGAAAGATGCTGATTGATAAAGATGTAGTGAGGCTGGGAAATGTGAAATTTAGTGGTGTCATCCACCCGGCTCTGTACTCACGGCAGATCCTCGATGACGAACTCTCGGATGGTCTCCTCCATCTTGGTGACGCCCGTCTGACCGCTGCGCTCGTCGTCGTCGACCATGTAGCGTTTGGTCGTCTCGACGATCCGACGCGTCGGGTTGGGGCTGCTCGGCACATCAAACGACTGGGTCGACACCGTCGTCATCGAGTTGGTGTTCTGGTCGTAGGTGGTGACCACCTTGGCGTTGGGGTCGTTCAGGTTGATGTCGATGTCTCGTGGTGCGGGCGGTGGTGCGCGACGGAACGGTTCCACAGCGCGAGACGCGGCGGGAGCGGGAGCGGGCGCAGGGGCGGGCGCAGGGGCAGGGGCCGGTGCCGGAGCTGGTGAGGTCTTGGACCGGATGGAGCTCTCCCAGTCGTAGGAGCGGTTGGACTTGAAGGTGTCTGTATTGAAGGAGGCGTTACTGCGCAGAGTGTCGGTGTTGTACGACTTGATGGTGTCGGTGTTGTAGGATTTCATCGTGTCCGTGTTGTAGCTGCGGTGGGACGGGGCGCTGTCCGACGCGAAGCTGCGGTGAGATTGCAGCGTGTCAGTGGCCTTCGCAGTTGGCCTGGTGAGGCCACCACTGACCCCGCTACCATTCGTCGTCTTCGAGAACGACTCAGTCACCGTGCTCCTTGAGGTGGAGCCGTTGGTGTAGGTTTTCCTAGGCAGACTTGGAGACGGCGGCGCCTTCCGGCCGGCCGGCTGCGAGGGTGCGCTCGAGACGCCGCTCGAGATCCCGCTCGAGATGCCATTCGAGCCGCCACTCGAGCCACCACCGCCGAGCAGTTTGCGCACGAGTCGCGGCGACTCGAGCGCGGCTCGAGTCGTCTCTCGACTGGCGCTCTCAGAGCGGCGCGGAGGCTCGGCGGACGGACTTGGACTGCGGCGCGACGAGGATGCAAAGTTAGCGTACGAGAACGGCTTGCTGTCGGCACGCGCGTGGTACGGAATCTCCTCCTCGGCTTTGGCACTGAACGACTCGGAAAAGGCCGAGTCGGACTTGTAGCCGTTGTAGTGCACCATGTCTGCTGCGTGCGGGGGCGGGTTGGGTGGCGACTGCTGCTGCGAACCGTACCCGGAGCTCACACTGGTGTCCGCGTCTCTGGAGCTCACCGTCCGTCCTCGCGACGTCGCGCGCTGCTCACTGACACTGGCCACCGGCGCAGACGCGAACGTCGGCGTCTGAATCGTGTCTAAATCGGGCGCGGGCGTCTGGCACGGGCGCAAGTCGGGTATGTTGGAGCAGTTCTCCAACAGTCCACTGAGCAGCTCGTCCAGCTGTGTAGCGTCCACGGACGGCTGTTTGGTCACTCGCGGCGGCGGTGGCGCTTCCACTGACGACCGACAGAGGCGCGCGGAGGCAGAGGTATCGGCACTCACCAACGGACTGCTATCACAGGGCGCCGAGCGCGCCGAACCGGCCGAGTGCGGGCCTGACGGCGAGTGACTGCTGCCGCCGCTTAGTCTCTCTCTACCTCCACTGGAGATACCAGAGTCCATAGACACCGTGTGCAGTTCATGGCTGTCGGCGGCGGCGGCGGCGGCGGCACTCCTCGGACTGACGGGCTTCTTGGCGACGGTCGCGTAGAGCGAGCCGTCCAGCGGACCCTCCGTGTGTGCCGGCGGCTCGGCCGCGTCTGAAACACAGTGCGGCCACCGTCAGCGGAGCGCGGCCGGAGCGCGGCGCGAGCGCGGACCGCCGCCGCCCGAGGCGCCGCCGCACAGCTGACCACATCAGCGACAATAGCGGCGCACGGCGACCAGCGGCGGCGTCGGCACGCGCACAGTCGAACTCTGCATGAGAAAAGGATCCGAGCAAGGTATAGCCTACCCCAGAAAGCCATCAGCTCCCCCAGCAGGGCGACTACATTCAGTGATCACATCCCGACCGGCCAAAAATCACAGCGCCTGCTCAAGGACTACTGGGGCGGAGGCGGAGGCCAGTGCTCCGACTGAGGTACAGTCGTACACAAATCGGACCACCGGCCACTGAAACCGCCCCTCCATCAGTCAGTCTTAAAACAGAACAAAAGCCACTGCAAAACATAAAAAGAGCCACTATAAATTTATCGGTGACGGAGTGTGGCGAGATATTTTAACGTCTCGGAGCTGTGAAGGTCGCCCGATGCGTCCAGCTGACGGCTCGGCCGGAATGATGACGTCCCACTGACCGGCCTTCCGTTCCGTTGTTACGGCTCGTGACGTCACAGAGTGTGACATCATACCGTGTGATAGAGAGGACGTGGGCGGACAGCCATTCCCACCAACTGTTGTTGTAAATGAACGGAATGGGGAAACCGCTCGAAGCTACGCCTCCGATGATTTCACGACACAACTGTTATTGACTTTCTAGCTGCGGCGACACGGGAGGGAATGCCGAAACAACGACCGTCGAATATGACGTCACAAATCTAGGCGAAGCGCCGACCGGCCTCCGGCGACGGTCTCGTCACTCGAGAGAGTGAGCTGTCGCCAGTCGCCCACGTCGGTCCCCAGGGGACAGGCAGCGCTCGTCAGCACGTCCGACCGACCAACAGACGACCGGAGGTCGGTGACAGGTCGAATTTGCGACCTATCGCAGCGGCTCATCTCACCGCGTTCGTGAGCGCCAACTGGGTGTTATAGGCAGGCCGGGGTCGCGTTCAGAGCGTGACCATTTAACGGTTTTCCACCGGACTGAATGAATAATTAACACGGTCTCGGCATCGACGGGCCTTCCTTCTCCCGGCGAGAAAATTACCGGCGTTCACGCCCTCGACTTACTTTCCCTGCCACAGGCACCGACAAAACGCAGGCCCGTCCCGAAATTAAACCGTTATCAGCCGTGTTGTTTCCCGTCACTACGTGCCCGTCATTACGGCACCGGTCATTGTCAAACCATCAATTCGATGGCGCCTCGGCGATGATTAGGCAAAACGGATGTAATGCGGCGCAGATAAGCGAGCAATGAGCCGACAGCATAGTAGCGCCCGTACACAACAGCACCACACGGTAGCTTTATAGACCAAACACTGACAGATGGCATCTTGGCGGCCTTGATACCGCGTCGCCTTCAGCTGCCGTGTGCGTCCCACATCAATGGACCATTGTGTGAGCCCAGCTCGGGCTGCCAGATAGACCGAGTTCGATCTATCTGGCAGATAAAGGCAGTGCGCTGACAGCAGATGGGCTGCGAGGGCGCCCGCCGCTCCACAGTGATGCAAATGGGGTTCACGAGTGGCCATAAATACCAAAAAGTCAAGTTTACCAAACCGAGTAAATCGCTATATGGCTAACCAAAGAAATGTTTGGCGCATCTAAAATCACATAGTTTTCATATTTTTGTCTAAACCGGCCTCGTGTATGATTGTCAGAAGTCGTGACATTTTCTATGTCGTAAAATGACTGTCAAATACTTGCAAGTTCAAACGCCCCTAGCGTGCGTTTATTTAATACAAACTGCAAAAATTATGCATGGCAATGATCCCTAAAGCCTGCTGCCTCTCATGCCGGGTCACAAAAAGCCGCATCTTTTTTGGTTTGGCGGTGATCTTATCATTTGTCATCATGTTGCAATCGCACTTTTTTACTAAAAAAATATTTGCTTTCGTTTCACCTACAGCAGTTTACACAGTGTGTGCCCGTTAGTGCACCATACCATAGCATTCCCTAACCATTTCTTAGTCACACCGTGAAAGAGTTAAGGCGCTAGCACAGGGCAGACCGGCGCTATTGAAGTTTTTGTCCGGCGCGGTCGGGTGTCGCGGTCGGGGCGGATTGCTTTCACCGCGGATTGCAATTTCGACAGACGTTTAGCTTTGACCTGCTATAAGTAGGTCAAATATTGACCTTAACCCGGCAGGCGGTGGGCCTACCAGCCACCTTCCGCGCGGTGGGGGGGGGGCACTTTTTTGCCCCCCCCCCCCCGTATCTCCGAAACTACTGGACGGATCCGGAAAATTCAAACGGCGTTCGATAGCCCTGTCAAATTTGTCGAGGGAAACCAAATTTCATTGACCTCGGGGTCACCGATGACGTCACAGGTCAGGTCAAAGATAAAATGTTTCACCGTTCACGGGGCTTCTAGGGAAAGCGCTATAACACCGAGTAAAACGCATTTTGTCGAAAATCAGCGATAAGGCGTCAGTTGTCTAGTACATATGTTGCTATTAGAGGTCACTGGTCATACCAGGTCAGGTCACAGGTCAGGTCACCAAAGGTCACCAAGGGTCACCACATGAGCCCAACTTTACTACGGTTATGCGATGCATGTTTTATGGCCAGTTTTTCATTTCCAACTCAATGGTGTTGGTTATAAGACCATCAGGTACGGTTTAGGTCACTTTCTGGTGGAGGTCAGGTCAAGGTCAGGTCAAAAAAGGTCAAATTTCAAAGTTGATATTTTTGCATAAAATGGGTATCTATTCGATGCAGCTCGTCACGGGGAGTCTAATGGTGGTCTTTGTTTTGCGCTACGAGGTCTAGAATTGCAAAAAATGGAGTTTGAAAATTTGACGTCATCAATTTTGAACAGTTTTTTTCACTATAACTTGGCCAAAAAAAGAGGTATCGATCTCAAATTTGGTATGTAGATAGAACGCGGTAGGGGCTATCACATATATTCCGGTTTTTTTCGAAATTCAAAAAACTTTTTGGATTTTTAGGCTATTATATTCAAAAAATCTATTTTTTTGATTTTTGGGGGTCAAAATCCAACAAATTCGAAAAACCGAAATAGCAGTTTTGTAGCCCTGTTAATTCCACACTTCTTATGTCTGAAACATTTTTCTGTATCTCTAAAGCTGTAGGCCTGACAGCTCTTCCCGCGAAACCTTTTTTTGGGTCGAAAATGGCAAAAATGACGTCACTCTGACGTCATTAGCAGCCAACCTATCATAGCCTTTGGAAAAATTTTTGGTCACCATGTGCGCTAGCTGCTCCCGGGAGGGTACTGAAAGTTTGGTGACGATCGGCGCAGCGGTTCTCGAGATATATCGAAAAAACTAAAGGGGGGCAAAAAAATGCCCCCCCCCCACCGCCTGGAAGGTTAAGTCAAAAGTAAAATGCTCACTCGCGAGATCTTGTCAAGAGCAATCCGTTGGTTTTTGTCGCGAGGCGCTAAGACACTTCGTTTAGGAACAGCAGAGGGATGCACCGACGAAACCCCGCTGTGGCCGCCCGCGCGCGGCGCGGCCGCCCGGGCTGCCCACCGCGCCGCGGCACCCGAACGCAACGGACGAAAACTTTAGTAGCGCCGGTCAGCCCTGTGCTAGCGCCTTCATTTTTTCACAGTGCGGCTCAGAAATGATTAGGGAATGCTATGGTATGTTGCACTAACGGGCACACACTATGTACACTGCTGTAGGTGAAACGAAAGCAAATATTTTCTAGTAAAAAACTGCGATTGCATCATGATGACAAATAGTTAGATCAACGCCAAACCAAAAGAGATACGACTTTTTGTGACCCTGCATTAGAAGCGGCAGACTTTGGGGATCATTGCCATGTATAATGTCTGCCATTTGTATGAAATGAAGGCACGCTAGCGGCGTTTGAAGTTGCGAGAATCTGACGGTCATTTTACGACACAGAAAATATCACGACTTCTGACAATCATACACGAGGCCGGTTTTGACAAAAGACATGAAAATCATGTTTTTCAGACACCCCAAACATTTGCCTGACTGGCCATATTACGATTTATTCGATTAGGTGAACTTGAAATTTGGGCCTTTTCGGTATTTATGGCCACTTGTGAACCCCATTTGCATCACTGTGCGCTCCGCGTGTTGGTAGTATCGGTTACAAGCCAGGTCGGCAGAGGCTGGGTTGTTGATGCCCATTGCGGCGCTGTATCCGGCTCTGGTAATGGGTTCAGACGGGGAGTAATCGTCCGACACCGCACGGGTCGGATCCCATGTCGCACACAAGACTGCTTTCGACATTGAAATGAATGGAGTCTCAGCAATGCAGATCCTATTTCACAATCGTCTTGTTAGGGAGTTGCAAATGGGGGACTCATCAATCGAATGGAGGGCCGTTAACAAGGCTAGCATAAATGGCGAGCGTAATTGGAGGTACAATGTCGGTATAATTCGTTTTCCGTTTAATTCACGACAGCAGAGACAATAAAATTCGCCGTTATTAAAACGGTACCGTTTGTCCAGCCATTTACAGTACTTACAAAAACAAAAAAGCCTAGTAAAAAGAGACTGCATCACCTATCAGTATAAGATAAGATTGGGACATGTAATTATAATTTCAGGATGCAAACGGGCAACTATATAAATTGTAAAAACTTCCGAAGACGCATCGTCGCATAAATTCAAATGTACGTACAATAAATGGTACATTACGTAAGCCTAATTACACTGAAAGAAGCGGGCGTCGGAGCATGTGAATGGAATGCTCAACGTAAACAACATTGCCTAATCGAACGACTGGTCGTTGTCGGACTCTCCAAGACACAACACGAGCACCAAAAGCCTATCAGATGCATTAATTTTCCGCCCAGACGCCTAGCCTCAAGGGCGTTATAGTCCGTCCAAGATAAAAACGTCCGCTGTTCACCAGTACCACCTGTTGGATCAGCAGACCTAACCCACGCACCAGACCATCCAACTACATCCCAGTCACAACATTCCACCCTGGACGACAC